CACCCCTCGGCCCTCTTGCCGCCCCTCCTCCCCACTAAGGACCCTCCCGGGAGGGACCCGCCATGGGTCCCAGGGGTGAGGACCACTTGCTGGAGTAGGTAGGCCCTTCCTGGGTAGTCAGCTGCCTACTCTCCCTTTTCTTCAACTCACCTCAGAGATTTTCGGGGGCTGAGGCAGCATTTTCTCCAGATTCTGCTCGAACCACCGGAGCAGCCAGGGCCCGGGCCTGCACAGGGGCCAGTGGTCAGCTGAGCAAACTCAAGAGATGAGCCCTTCCCCGGCTCCCATTCCGCACAGTGGGGACCTGGGACTGCATACTCTTAAAGGGCTTCCAGTGGTACGGGGACTTCCGCCAACCTGAAATTCTGACCCAAGGCTGGACAAGGCTCTGGAACCACAGGCCCAGCCTTGGCCTCCTGGACAGCAGGTGACAGTTGGGGCTGCTTGCGGACCTGAATGCAGCATTGGGGTGGGGGGTGCTCCCTGAGACTGGCACAGAGAAGTCTGGCTTCAGGGTATATGAACAGTGTGGTCACACAGGGCCCCATACCTAGAAAGGCTCATGTTTGGTTTAATGCTGTATTGTCACCATCTTAATCCTGCATTTTCATTTTGCAGTGGGCCCCACCATTTACATAGCTAGCTCTGGGATAAACACTGGGTCCCCAGATCCATCTAGCTTCCAGGCAGCCCCACTGTCTTCAGGGAAGCTCCATGCTCCCAGGGGAACCTATCTCCCAGGTGTGGCCCAAAAGAAAGCTGGCAAGTCCTCTGGGTGCCTTCATCCTCAGTGGCTTTACTGGTCTCACGTCTCCAGAGTAACCCTGGGGACCCATGACCTAGGCAGCCTCCAGGGGACAAAAGAAATAGAGAGCAAGTGGGAGCAATGAATGAATAAATGAATGGTATGTGTAATTGTATATTCATTCATTCATCTCTTCTGTGCTGAGTCGCCTTTGTACGGCAGGCACTGTGCTGGTCACTAGGGGTTTGGCAGTGACCTAGACAAACACGCCCGAGTTCAAGGACCCGACAGTCTAACAAGGCACAGGCAGGTGGAGCTCAGTGAGGCCCCTCCCAGGAGAGGGACATGGGCTCCCCCATTTGCCACAGTCACCACCCAGCCTGCCACCCCCTCAGTCAGTTCTGAGAAGGCAGAGCAAGTGGAGCGAGAGTGTCAGTCGCTCAGTCGTGTCTGACTCTTGGTGACCCCATGGACTGTAGCCCACCAGGCTCCTCTGTCCATGGGATTCTCCAGGCAAGAATACTGGAGTGGGCTGTCTTCTCCTTCTCCAGGGGATCTTCCTGACCCAGGGACCGAACCCAGGTCTGCATTACAGGCAGATTCTTTACTGTCTGAGCTGCCAGGGCAGCACCCTGAGAAGTCAGAAGCTGTGGCCAGCTGTGAGGCCAGCTGGGCACCCTAGCATCCCCCATGGTGGCCCAGACCCTGCCTCTGGACACCCACCTCCATGTGGCACCCACCTACACAAGGCCCACCCCAAGCAGCTCACCCATGCCTTCTCCCCGTCCTCAGAAAGTGGCCCCTATCCAAGGATCTCCCAGTAATGAACACAAAAAACTATGAGCAGCACAGGGCCCATTATTCCCATTTTGTGGATGAGAAAAGTGAGGTCTAGAAGAGCCAAGAGGCATGTCCAAGGTCACACATAGAGGTAGTGGTAGACCCTGGGCTCTGGGCATGCTGAGCCCACCACACACACTACAGATCGGGCTCGGGGACAAGGACTCACCCAGGGTCTTCGGCCCTGGGGGGTTCACTGGGTTCATCTGCAAAAGAAAAGAAGCCTGTCAGCAGCAAGAGGCCTGCCCAGAGCCCCTGGTCAACCCAACTCAAACCCAGGTTTGATCCAGGCCTGAGACAGATGAGCTCTGGCCCCATGGACTCTTCCCCCAGAGCTGGGCCCAACCCAGCTGCCCCTAAGTGCTCAGTTGCTCAGTCATGTCTGATTCTTTGTGATTCCATGGACTGTAGCCTTCCAGGCTCCTCAGTCCATGAAATTCTCCAGGCAAGAATACTGGAGTGGGTTACCATTTCCTTCTTCAGGGGATCTTCCCAACCCAGGGATTGAACCTGCATTTCCTGCATTGGCAGGCGGACTCCTTACCANTGCTCAGTTGCTCAGTCATGTCTGATTCTTTGTGATTCCATGGACTGTAGCCTGCCAGGCTCCTCAGCCCATGAAATTCTCCATGCAAGAATACTGGAGTGGGTTACCATTTCCTTCTTCAGGGGATCTTCCCAACCCAGGGATTGAACCTGCATTTCCTGCATTGGCAGGCGGACTCCTTACCACTGAGCCACTAGGAAGTCCTAGCAGCCTCTAAACCCACCACTAAAATGCCATCCGGCCTCCTGTCCTTACCTGAGTCCCCAGTGTCGCACTGCCCAAGGATCTGTGCTCCTGCCTGCTGAGACAGACAGACAGACAGACGGACGTGGGCAGAGGATACAGGTGCGCTGGCCTCCCTCCCACCCTTTCCCCACCTGACCCACCTCAGCTCCCAACCCCAGTAATACCTGATCTGGACTCTCCAAGCCAGCAGCAGTGTTCTGGGCGGGCCTGCTGCTGCGGACGGGCTGCGGGACAACCTTCTCCACGCCCTTCCTGAGCCAGGTCAGCACCGAGCCTCTGGGACCGCTGAGGGACAGAGAGACCGGCCTTCCCTCAACGTCCCCAGCCCCTCCCTGGTCAGCATGGCAGTCCACAGCATCCTAAAGAACTTGGTTTGAGCCCCAAGCCTCTATCTCCCAGTGTGACTCTTCAGACACATCAACTCCCTCCTAGAGTCTTGTGTCCCTCTCTGGAAAATGGGGAACGCCAATGCTTGCCGAGGTCAGGCCTGCCCCATGCCATTTGAAGCCCACCCCACTGAGACACTCAGTAAGACATCAGCCAGGTATCCTTGTGCCCAGTTAGCCTGGCTCCAGGGGGCCCCTCCTGCACTTCGCTCGTGTCTTGTGTTCTGGAAGGGTTGAGGGTTTCCTGTGGGGTGTTTCCTTGTGACAGAGGCTTGTCAGCCTAAACAGAATCACAGACTCACCGTCTGAGGCCAACCCCGCCACAGACATGCTCACTGGGGCAACCACCCAGGGTCTAAAATGTGACCTTTTGGGGAGATTTCATGGGAAATTCTGGATTTCTGTCTTCATGGGGAAAATCAGAAGCTCTGGCCACACCAAACCTGCATTTCACCTGAGCACTGAGAAATCTCTGGTCCCCAGCCTCCTTTTCTCTTGGTCATACGGTCAATTTGGCCCAGGAGACCCCCCTCCTCTGCCTGAGGCTCCCCTCAGCCAATTCCTAAGGTCACCTGGGCCTTTACTTGGGAATGACTGCAGACCAGAGAGCAGTGGCCATCCCCGCCCCCTCAGTGGGAGGGCCCCCAAGCCCCCTCCCTAGCTTGGGTCGGGGCTGGCCCTGAGGAGAGGGGAGGGTGCTGCAGTACCTGTTAGCTTCGGGAGCCACAGAGACCTGGGCCTGGAGGGATGTGGGCGGAGTGAGAGCAGTCTCCTGGGTTCCTGGAAAGAGTCCCTCTGACTTTAGGACTGGACCCTCTCAGAGACCCGTTTCTACCCTGCTGGGGAGGTCAAGTCAGAGGCAGAGGAGAAGGGAGAACCCTGAGGGAGTTGGAAGCCTGCAGTTCCAGCTCAACTCAGCTAAAAAGTCCCCAGGAGTCTGCCCTTAGCTTCCCTCAGCCTCAGTTTCTTCATCTGTGAAATGGGTATGCCAGCCTCATGGGCTACTGTAGGGCTCTAAGTGGAGGATACAGCCCTTCTCCCTCTCCTCCTTCCCCCCACCCACCAGCCAGGGCTTCTAGCACTCACCTTGAGAGCCCAGAGTAGCTGCAGCCACTTCCTTCTCCACACAGGGCTCCTCCGGTGGCTGGAGGGTTCAAACAGGGCCATGTGAGTCCCCAGTGATGCCAGCCCTGGTACAGGCAGAGCCAGCCCTCGACCCACCCATGACCAAACCCCTACAAGACCAAACAGGTCTGTTCTCACAGTGGTCTCTGAAATCCTAGGGCCTCACCTCCCACCTGGGAGACAAAGTGTCTCCCAGAAAGCTGCCCCACTCAAGTATACACACACTTATATTTGCATATAGACCCAGACACAGATATCTGTTTGTACACACGTACATGTATATGCCCAGTCACATAAACACACACACACACATATATAGGTGTATACAAATATACTTGTGGTTTTGCACTGACACACAAATATGCACTCATGAACACATTATTTCAGGTCTATTAACACACAAAGACACACACAGATGTGCATACATGCACAGGTGCACAAAATATGTGTATAAATCTAGAGCTGTCCCGAGCGTGGACCAGGAACCAATGGCAGTCTGCAAACTGTTACTGGTCCACAATGTTTAAGAGGTTTGCAGCAGAGTGTATATCAACACACTGCTTCCTTTAAGGAGAAAGTCGTACTGCAAAACAATACCAGCTGAACTAAGCAGTGTGCTTAATTCATAGTAGATTTATCTCTAGCAAGCTCCTGGTCTCCTCCTGGACTGGCAACAAACAGTTCAGGGCCTGGCTACTTTGATTAGTTCTGTTTTAGACTCTAGAGGTTAGAAAACAATGGTCAGTGGGCCAAATCCAGCCTGGTGCTAGCTTTTGCAAATAAAGTTTTATTGGAACACAGACACCATGTTCATTCATTTACATGTTGTCCATGGCTGTTCTCACACTACAGTGGCAGAGTTGAGTAATTAACAGAGATAGCGTGACCTACAAAGCTTAAAATGTTTACTATCTGGCTGTTTACAGAACCAGGAGACCGGACACCCACGTTTCCTTTTGACCCCAACTTTCCCTGTTGTGGAAGCTGAGTGGGGGCAACTGACCCACGCTGGGGATTCTCTGAGCCGCGAGGCCAGCGTGCCCTTCCTGGCTCTTCAGTTCTTACCAGGGACACTTCCTCTAGCTCAGCCTCCTCGGGGGCTGTTTCGGGCTTCGGCTCCAACTCTGGCCCTGGTTCTGCCCCCTCCTCCTCTCGCTTGGTCTTCTGAGGTGTCCCTGGGGGCTGAGGCAGCACCCTCTGGACCCAGCCCAACATCCTGACACCTGTAGGGGACAAAAGTCCTTAGGTAGCTCCCGAGTGCTCACGGTTGCCCCCACCTTTCATGGGCTGCTTTTGTGAGTTACCTGTTCCCCTTTTCTTTCACCATCTTTAAAAAATATTTTTGCAATTATCCGTCCAGGTATTTTCCTTATAGAAACATTCAAGCCCACAAACATACGTGTGTAAAGAGGTGGGTCATGATAGTGTTAGAGGAAAAGATGAAAAACATCCACATATCCATCCGTGTGTTGTTTATTCACTTAAGTCATATCTGACTCTTTTGTGAGCCCATGAACTGTAACCCACCAGGCTCCTCTGTCCCCAGGATTTCCCAGGAAAGAATACTGGAGTGGGTAGCCAGTCCTTCTCCAGGGCATCTTCCCAACCCAGGGATTGAACCCATGTCTCCTGCATCGCAGGCAGATTCTTTACTGCTGAGCCACCAGGAAAGTCTGTAGGAGACTGGTTATTGGGAAGTACCTAATTGTTCATCTGTAAGCAGAGCGCAGGCTAAATAAATATCCAATGATGGTGTATTATGGAGCCATTGATTTTAAGTAGATCTATTTGAACTAACATGGAAAGACCTACATGCACCAGACTCCAGTCATGAGCAAATTGAGTAAATGCTCTATACCTCAGTTTGCTTGTCTGGAAAATGAGGATGTTAATAGTAGCTATCTTGTGGAGATAATTGTGAGGATAAAACAAACTGATGAGAAGAGTGACTGGCACATGATGAGAGCTTAATAAATGTTGGCTGTGACTATTATTGGATGTCAAGCAAAAATGCTAATTTTAGTTTATCATGTTCAGCATAACCCCATTATAAATTTTTTTTACAAATTTTTAAAAATACATGATGAACAGCATATGAATGGAAAATAACTTTTTTGCTTAATATATTATAAAAATTAACGCATTTTTGTGATTTAGAAGTTTTTAAGATAAAATGACAGGCTCCCCTTTTCATGGTTTACTGCGATAGCTACCTTATGTGGGTTCAGATTCTGGCTTCATGTATCTCTAGGGAATGGGCAGCCCTTACCTTATGATCATACCCCTGCAGGACGGCCTGGCGCAGCGAGTATCACACAGATCAATATATGCAAACTGCCAGCCCTTATAGGGCGTTTTTGAGGCTGTGCTGGCATGATATGTCCTCCTTCCCCTGGCCATGGGCAGCCAAGGTATTAGTAAAGTGCTTCTCTGTCCCTACACTGCCAGGGACCCGGGTCTAGGGCTGCAAAGGGCAATCACAGGCCCAGGATCCCTGCCCCACAGCCCAGCTCCACACAGCCTGCCCTTCTGCTCACAGCGCCAACGTCTGTCTCCACTCTGGCATCAGCAGCCCAACTCCTCCTAAGTGAATCCGTGGTTTGGGGACACAGCTCTTAGTGAGGGGGTCAGATCCCTGGCTCAGCTGCCCACAATGTGAACCTGGGCCAGACACGACATCTCTGGTCTTCCCTTTCCTTGTTGGGTGTGGGGGTGTGGACACTGATTTCCAAAGTGGGCAGAGCCTCACATGGTATGTTTAGGATGGCAGATTTCACCACCCCAATCAAGCACAGGCAGCTCCAAAAGCCACGATCACTTCATCCTTGTTCTCACCTCCGCCTCCTCCTCAGCCTCAGGAAAATAAGCATTTTTTCATCACCGCTTTATAGCTAAGGAAATGGAGGCACAGAGAAGTCAGGAGACCTGCCCCAAATAACACAGCCGGTAAGTGACCCGGCTGAGCTTACGCTTAGTCTGGCCTGACTCCAAGTGTCCTACATCTACCTGGAAGTGCTGACATTTGCCCAGGATTGGCTGCTTCTGCACCCCAGTCCTACGAGCCATTTCCCAGCAGGCAACAATTCTGGCTTGTGTTTCTGAACCTTTTGGAAATGACTAGGGGAGCCTTCCCCACTCCAGTTTTCCTTCTTTTCCCAGCCATTTCCTTCTTGATAGAAACATGTGCAGGTCCCTCCCGTCTTTTTGCCCTGTTGCTGCTGATTCCTCATTGATGAGGGAGGCATAGGCAGGAAGGGGGCCTGGGAGTGGTACTCAGAGCAACAATGGTACCTGGACCACCAGCCTTTCACAATCTTCCAGGGAAGCTGGGGGGATGCAGATTCTTAGGCCCCTCTAAACACTCTGCAGGACCTGGAATCCGTATTTCACAAGCTGCCTTGGAAATTCACTAAGGTTTGAGACTCACAGGGAAAAACAGAAGCCTCAGGTTTCCAGCCTTGCCAGATTCTCCATGTCTAAACGCCTTGCTGGGAGAAGAGCATGGAAGGGGTCCCATCAGGGGTCCCACAGAGCCACCACCTCACCCTAAGTTACCTGCTCGGATGCTGTCCACCGCCAGGACTTGCCTTCTTCCTGCTTCTCTCGGCTGGCCTCTCAGACACAGCGGGGATTAATTGGCAGCAGCAGGGCCGTGTGCAAAGGATTAGGAGATGCTAGAGAGGGTGGGGAGGTGGTGGTGGAAGAGAGGCGATCGATGCCAAGGGAGCTGTCAGCAACCCCCCAGGGGCCAGCAGGGATCTGGGCCTCAGGGAAGGAGCCCCACGCAACCCTGGTTGGGGCATTGTGATTCCCCACAGACCTCGACCAACCCATCTAGTGATGGTGGGAGAATAACTGCTTACAGCCCCCAGGGAATCCTGGGAGACTCCTCAAGGTGACAGGGGCTCATCAACTCTCAGTCAGCAGTGGCAGTAGGCACATCCCAGCTCTCCAGTCCCAAAGCAGGGACTCAAGCAGAGTCTTTCTGTCCCAGAATCTTCTGCAGCTTGGGCAGGGTCTCAGCACCCCCTGCCTTGGGATCCCCCAGAATGGCTATAGTCCCAGGGCTGGGCCTTTAGGGAGGTTCCAAGGACTGATGACTGACTGAATTCAAGCTGGCCTCCTGAACTGAAGTCAGACCCTAGAGGGGAGATGGTGATCTCAGGGGAGAAGGGGAGAGGGACAGAGACCCAGTGCAAAGGGGTTCAGTGAGGTGACAGGACCTGGGTGGGGGGCAAGGCAGTGGGCTGTTTAGCAAAAGTCAGGGGACTTAAAAAGCAGAGACATCACTTTGCTGACAAAGGTCTATAGAGTCAAAGCTATGTTTGTTCCTGTAGTCATGTATGGATGTGAGAGTTGGACCATAAAGAAGGCTGAACACTGAAAAACTGATGCTTTCAAATTGTGCTGGAGAAGACTCTTGAGAAGCCCTTGTACTGCAAGGAGGTCAAACCAGTCAATCCTAAAGAAATCAACCCTGAATATTCATTGGAAGGAATGATGCTGAAGCTGAAGCTCCAATACTTTGGCCACCTGATGGGAAGAGCTCACTCATTGGAAAGACCCTGATGCTGGGAAAGATTGAAGGCAAGAGGAGAAGAGGGTGAAAGAAGATGAAATGGTTGGATGGCATCACGGACTCAATGGACATGAGTTTGAGCAAGCTCCAGGAGATAATGGAAGACAGAGGAGCCTGGCGTACTGCAGTCCACAAACTCGCAGATAATCAGACATGACTTAGAGACTGAACAGCAGGGGACTTGACTTGATCATCTACAACGTTTCTCAACCTTGCCTATGTGCCAGGCAGCGTGCCAGCCTCAGCACACTGAGAAAGAGAGAAATTGGACCTGCCCTCACAGAGCTTCTATGCCAATGGAGGATTCAGAAATAAAAAAGATTAACAATGAGTTTGAAAGTATTACAGATATGCTGAGTGCCATGAAAGAAACACACAGAGCAGAAACATGTATGAGGTGATAAAGATCTGGGGGTGGGCATAAGTGCCTCTATGCAGAAGCAAATATTTGAGCTGAGATGTAAGATTTAAGTGAATGATGTTCCAGGCAGAGGACCCTGGAAGGGTAAATAAAGGTCTTGAGGCTGAAATGAGCTTGGATGCACCTGAGGGACAAAGTGGGACTGGGGGCTTAGTGGGGACAGGGGAGAGTGGTGGGAGATGAGCTCCAGAACAGATCAGGTAGGGCCTGTAAACCACAATCAGAAGCTTGGGTTTTAGCTGATGGCCCATGGAAGCCCATGATGGTTCAGTTTAGAACTGGGGCTACAATCAAAAACTGGGGCAAAGAACTAAACAGACATTTCTCCAAGGAAGACATACAGATGGCTAAAAAACACATGAAAAGATGCTCAACATCACTCATTATCAGAGAAATGCAAATCAAAACCACAATGAGGTACCATTACACGCCAGTCAGGATGGCTGCTATCCAAAAGTCTACAAGCAATAAATGCTGGAGAGGGTGTGGAGAAAAGGGAACCCTCTTACACTGTTGGTGGGAATGCAAATTAGTACAGCCACTATGGAAAACAGTGTGGAGATTTCTTAAAAAGCTGGAAATAGAACTGCCATATGACCCAGCAATCCCACTTCTGGGCATACACACCGAGGAAACCAGATCTGAAAGAGACACGTGCACCCCAATGTTCATCGCAGCACTGTTTATAATAGCCAGGACATGGAAGCAACCTAGATGCCCATCAGCAGACGAATGGATGAGGAAGCTGTGGTACATATACACCATGGAATATTACTCAGCCATTAAAAAGAATTCATTTGAATCAGTTCTAATGAGATGGATGAAACTGGAGCCCATTATACAGAGTGAAGTAAGCCAGAAAGATAAAGACCATTACAGTATACTAACACATATATATGGAATTTAGAAAGATGGTAACGATAACCCTATATGCAAAACAGAAAAAGAGACACAGATGTATAGAACAGACTTTTGGACTCTGTGGGAGAAGGCGAGGGTGGGATGTTTCAAGAGAACAGCATCGAAACATGTATATTATCTAGGGTGAAACAGATCACCAGCCCAGGTTGGATGCATGAGACAAGTGCTTGGGCCTGGTGCACTGGGAAGACCCAGAGGGATCGTGTGGAGAGGGAGGTGGGAGGGGGGATCGGGATGGGGAACACATGTAAATCCATAGCTAATTCATGTCAATGTATGACAAAACCCACTACAATATTGTAAAGTAATTAGCCTCCAACTAATAAAAATAAATGAAAAAAAAAAAGAACTGGGGCTGGACACAATCTGTGAGGCTGCTATCTGGTGGGCAGGTGTGGAAGCAAGAAACTAGTCGGGAGGTAGTGGAGGAGCAAGCCACTTTGTGACTGGATGACCCATGGGCTCTCCTTCTTATGCTAAAACTCGGATATGCGATTCACCCGCAAGGCAACTGGTATCAGAGAATGTTCTTTCTGTCAGCACGGTTGGACACCAATGGCAGAGCTTAAGGTGGTCCCTGTCATGCTTTGTCAATACGCCCAGCTGCTGGGGATCAGTGCTCCTCCCGGGTATTTCCAGCCAGACACCTGCTAGGAAGGGCCAGCTCTTGTGCTCTGCCTGGGGGCCCAAGTGATGACCTGTATCATCGGTGACACCTGCCCTCACCTCTGGCTCAACAGAGGCCAGGGCAGAGACGATGAGTCTTGGACTAGGGTGGCAGGGGAGAGCAAAGGGGAGGGGAAGGAAGAGGGAGGTATTGAGAGTATTCAGCTTGGGAAGAGTTTTGGGGGAAAGTCATGAGCTCTACTTGGTGACGACGTCTGAGAGACATCTGAGTGGAAATGTGCAGTGGGTAGCAAGAGGTGTGTGTGTGCTGGGGTGGTAGGGGTGGGCGGTGGGTTGGAGTTTAGGAGAGCCGGATGCCTGGAGATAGAAATTTTGGAGGCATCAGTTCACCTTATAAATGACGGTTAAAGCTGCAGGACTGATTGAATCCAATGTAAAGAAGAGAAGGACCAAAGATGATGACTGGCATGGTGTGATTTGGGGAGAAGGAAGAGGGGCTGGGAAGGAAACTGATGGAGCCGCCGGGGAGGGAGGGGGAGGACCAAGAAGTGGAGTGTGCTGCAGCCAAGACAGGTGAGTGTGCTGGGAAGATGAATGGTCTCCTGGGACCACCATGTGAGCCAAGGCTGAGCTGTGCCCCCAGGCTGCGCAACCCGGAGCAGGACGCCTGGGCAGTGGGCAGAGTCAGGTGGGCCTGGCTGCAGAGTAATGGGGCTCAGCCACACCCCCATTGGATGACTCTCCAATACTTATACACAGAAAAAAGTCAGACTCAAAAGATCCCAATGGTTTGTGTATACAAAGCTCAAAAAAGAGCATTATCAGCCTGTTTTGTCTGTATGGCTGCAAACGTAGGTAGTGAAACTACAAAGAGAAACTGAGGGGGTCTTCCCTGGTAGTCCAGTGGTTAAGACTTCACCTTCCAACGCAGGGGGTGTGGGTTCTATCCATGGTGGGGGAACTAAGAATCCACATGCCTAGGGGCCAAAAAACATAAAACAGAAGCAATATTGTAACAAATTCAATAAAGACTTTAAAAATGGCCCACATTGAAAAAATCTTAGGAATGAAAAAAAGAAAAGCAGTGGTTATACTGTTCAGCCAGCAGACTGGTTACCTCTTTTAGGAGGTGGGATTGGAAAAGGGGCTGTGGAAGCTCCTAGCAGCTGGCAGTGCTCTGAAGTGTTTTCTTTAGCTGACATCAATTTTTTTTANGCCATCTATATGACATCAATTTTTAATACAACATTATTGTAGTATAATTTGTATGCCATAAAATTCACCCATTTTAAGTATACAGCTCAATAACTTTTAGTAAATTAACTGGACAATGCCACATCTACTTTCAAAAACAAATCTACTTCAGAACATTTCCATCACCCCCAATAAGATCCTTCATGCTCATTAGTCACTCCCCATTCCCACACCCAGGCCCAGGCAACTAGTCTTGTCTCTAAAGATGTTCGTTTTCTAAACATTAAATACTGATGGACTGTACGATATGTGGAGTGTTTTTGTATCTGGTTTCTTTCATTTAATATAATGTTTTGATGGTCATTCACATTGTGGCATGTATCCATAATTCTTATCTTTTTCATTCCCAAGAGTAGTCCATGGCTATATCTATATTCCATAGATATACCACAGTCTATTTATCTATCCATTAATCAACTTGTTTCCATATTTTGGCTATTATAATTAACGCTGCTATAAATATCTGCATGCAAGCCTTTGTGTGGACATATATTTTCATTTCTCCTGGGAAAATTCTTAGGGGTAGAATTTCAGGATCATATGGTAAATTTAAGGCTTCCCAGGTGGTGCTAATGGTAAAGAACCCACCTGATAATACAGGAGATGCAAGAGACAAAGGGTTTGATCCCTGGGTCGGGAAGATCCCCTGGAGAAGGAAATGGCAACACACTCCAGTATTCTTGCCGGGAGAATCCCATGGGTGGAGGAAACTGGAGGGCTACAGTCCAGTGTCACAAAGAGTCAGACATGACTGAAGCGACTTAGCACACACACACACTCATGGTGAATTTATGTTTCATGTTTTAAGAGATTGCTACACTGTTTTGCCAAGTAGTACCCCTGTCTTGACCTGACTGGTGGTTACAAGGAGTCTCACTTTTTCAGCTGTGTCCGATTCTCTGTGACCCGGTGGACTGTAGCCCCCCCAGGCTCCTCATTCCATGGGATTTCCCAGGCAAGAATACTGGAGTGGGTTGCCATTTCCTTCTCTGGGGGATCTTCCCGACCCAGGGAGCAAACCTGGGTTTCCCACATTTCAGGCAGACGCTTTACCCTCTGAGCCACCAGGGAAGTCCAGTAATTATGAGTTATATTACATATTTAAGCACTTTTTCAATTTTGTTATTTTTTAAGATTTTTTTTGATGTGGACCAGTTTTAAAGTCTTTATTGAATTTATTAGAGTACTGTTTCTTTTCTTTTTTTATGTTTTGTTTTTTGTCTGGGAGGCATGCAGTATCTTAGCTCCCCAACCAGGGACTAAAACCACACCCCTAGCATTGGAAGCACGGAGTCTTAATGACTGGACCATCAGGGAAGTCCCTGGATTTTGTTATAATTTTAACTTTAAAAGAGTGAAAATTTTTCAATGAGGTGGTGAATGAAGTCAACCCTAGGAAATTTTTCTCTAAGGGATGGGACTTGGAGATGCTGCTTGGGGGCTGGATGGAACACTACACTAGAGGAGGAGGAGCTAAGGAGCCAAATCCTGCAGGAATCCCACAGCAGGGGTCCCATGGTCCATTAGGCTCAGCAAGTGGACAGGTGTATGCAAAGCACATGCCAAGATATGCAAATAAGTTAGCATCTCCACAGGGTTTCCTCATGAGGGTGGAAGGGCTTCCCCCCTCCAGTGGTTTTGGTTTTTTTTTTTTTTTTTGGCTGCACAGGGCCACAGCAGTGAAAGCACTGAGTTGTAACCACTGGACTGCCAGGGATCTCCCTCAGTGGTTCTGAACACTTCAGGGTGCTTGGCTTAGGCCCTCGTGACCTTGTTTTGACAAGATGGGAGGGAAGCGGCAGGCCTACAGGGGTCTGGCCATGGAGTATCACCTGCTAATCCCTGTTGTGCTGAGGCCACCAATCTCACTGATCCCCTTATGCTGACCCTAGATCCTGGCAACCACTAATCTCCACCTCTGGAGCCTCAAGGACTGGCAGACAGGGTAGTGCCCTCTTCCCTGAGGTCTGCGAGGAGAGAAACACCCTGCCAGTTCAGATACCCCTCTTGACAGGTCCCAGGACCCTTGCCTAACAGAGATGGGAACTTTGAGGCCCAGAGAGAGACAGTAACTAGTCTAAGCCCACACAGTCTGCCCTGGCCAGCCCTACCATGATTAGCCCCAGGAAATCCCAGCTCCTTGTCTGATTTTCTCAACATTCCCATCCTGTGTGAGCCCCAGAGACAGCAACCTTCAGGAAGGCCAAACAAGGGGGCCAGTGCAAGGACCCAAGGGGGCAGCAGGCTCTTCTCGGAGCCTGTGGTTGCCAGGGTTGCCAAGGAGCCGGTGCCCTCACAATGAGCCTGCAATGGGCATTGTCTCTCCAGAATGTCCCTTTATTCTCCTGTCTCATAAGGCACTGGGGCCTGGCCCATCTCTCTACCTCTCTTCCCCATTGAGCGGGCAAAGGAGGAGAAAATCTCTATAGGCCTGTGCACCTGGGGCTGGTGGCCTGCAGGTGAGGTACTGCAGAGGTGGATGGGGGGCAAGGGGTCTGTCCTCCCCCTCCTCTCACTGCTCCCATTCCCTGTCCCTCCCTTCGAAAGCCCAGCGCCTGGGGCAGCTTCCCCATCCAGTCGTCATGCCCTCTCCCCACTAAAGGTCCTCTCTCCTCCTACCCACCTCCCTGTTGCCCGCCTCCATCTCTCACCACCCACTAGAGTCAGAAAGGAAGCAACTGGACTCAATAAATTCTCACTGAAGTTTAAACTACTCAAAGGCTCTGGGAATATCTGCTTTTTAAAAGGGAGCACTGGAGAACCAGCCATATTTCTTTCTAGTTCATATCCATTATGTTTCTCCCCTTATTTAAAACGTCCCCATGTCTCCCTGTAGAATGCTGAGTAAATGCCAGGTACCTGAGCTAATGCCAGAAATCCATAATTAATTACCCAGAGGCAGGCGGAGCCCACTTCTGAACCCACTTGCTGCTGTTGCTTCCTGCTCATTATTGCAGAATAGACACAAATGGCTTCTCTTTAGACAATTCCCTGAAAGCCCCAGCCCCAGTCTCCCCACACACACCCCCTCCTGTACGGACCTCTGCCAGAGCCCTTAGCACATGCTCTGTGATTGTGTGTATATCCGTGTGTGAGTGTGTGTTCTGAGTGTCCCTGATCCCACCACAGCTCCTGGCTCACAGTAGGTGCTCAATACCTGTTGGATGACAAGTCAGCACTGGCCAAGGTTGTGTTCCCACACAGAAGGGTGTCTGCTGCGGGTGTCTCCGCCACCCAGCCATGGCCCGCATCATTGACCTGGTGCCCTGGGAGGATGGCTCCACCCACGTGTACACGTCCCCGGCCATCCTACTGCCCATGCCCCGGAGGCGCAACCAGCTGGCCGGCGTGAAGCAGCAGCTCTACCACCCAGCCCTGCCCAGTCTGCGCCGCATGGACATGGACTCTGTCAAGGCCTGCCTTTCCGACGAGCACTGCCAGTCCACCACCTACTGCCGCAAAGGTTGGGCCACCTGGTTGCTGTTGGTGGTCCCTCAGAGCCTTAGGGGAAGGCGCGGATGGTTTGGAGGAGAGAGATCTCAGAGGGAGAAGGCAGGAGTAGCCAATGAAAGGGTTAGGGGGACTAGTCCCAGCTCTGCTCCTCCTTTCCTGAGAATCCTCCGGGTCTGAGCCTCTGCTTCCCTATCAGTAAAATGGGAATGCTAACAGGGTGGCCTCTCAGGGCTATTGGGAGATTGTTGTTGTTCAGTCGATAAGTCAGGAATGACTCTTTACAACCCCATGGGGGTCCTCCACTACCTCCTGGAGTTTGTTCAAATTTTTGTTCATTGAGTTGGTGATGCTATCTAACCATCTCATCATCGGCTACCCCTTCTCCTTTGCCTTCAGTCTTTCCCAGCATCAGGATGTTTTCCAATGAGTGATGTCTTCATATCAGGTGGCCAAAGTATTGGAGTTTCAACTTCAGCATCAGTCCTTCCAATGAATATTCAGTACTGATTTCCTTTAGGATCAACTGGTTTGAGATTAACTTTGTGAGATTAAAGTGATATAAGGCATGAGAAGCTGTTAGAGTAGTGCCTGGCACATACTATGTGCTCAACAGTAATGTTATTGCTATTATTCATGGAGACAGAACTGCAGAGGTCAGCAGTGCAGGAAGAGGAAGAATAATAACAGCAGTAATAATTTCTTCCCAGTCATCTCTCTCTTTGAAAAAGAAAGAGAAAGATACCTGTCATGAAAGAGAGGGGAACATGGAAGCCTCTGGGGTTAAGGACTACCCAGGGCTAAGGAAGAACTCTTCACTGGCTGAGACGCTTGGGCATTGAGGTAGGGGTGCCATGCAGATGCCCACATGCAGGCATTTCAACACATTTATTCATTGCCCGCTTTGTACTTGAGTCTGCACTTGAGTGTGTACTTTGGACAAAGGCCTTCTAGCTAGAGGGAGCAGCACATACAGAGGCCTGGAGGGGAAAAGCTGCTCAAGGTGTTGGCGAACTTGAGGGATTTGGTTGGGCCCAAGGACAAAGTACGTGGGGGCAGCAGGAGCTGTGGCTGGTGGTGGGGACGCAGCTCAGGGAGGGCCCTGTCATTGAGCTCAGCAATCTGGACTTTCTTGGGAGGTAGATAAGAACCCCTGAAGACTTTAAGCAGGAAAGAGGTCTGAGCACTGGGGTGTCAGGGAGTGGGTGACCGAGAGGGACAAGAAGTGGATAATGGGGGAGAGGTTAGTGGTTAGGACACTGGGAGGGACCACAGCCTTCAGGAGGTAGTGACAGTGTCTTGGCCATGGGGGAGGGATTTGGAAGGTATTTAGGAGATAAAGGAGTAGGACTTGGCCAGTGTGAGTAGAGGGGCAAGAGTGGGGAGTCCAGGGTGACACCCAGGTTCAGGCTGGATGGAGTGAGCCTGTCAGAGATGATAGGGGGATCTCCAGAGGTCCCACAGAGACCCCTGCAGGGCCAAGAGGGAAAACACAGATATGGGAAGTGGGTAAGGAAGCACTGGGGGGTGGGGTGAAAGTGAGAAGGAGCCCCCTCACCCGCCCCTATATAAAGGGGGGCAGCTATAGGGTCCCCCTTGACTGCTGTGTGGGAAGGGTCAGCACAGTTCTACCAATCTCCTAGCTCCCAGGAGAAGCCAGGAATCTAGATTTATAGGGAGAGCTCTTGATTTAGATATGCATTTTATTGCAAGTAAGTTTTAATCAAAGCAATGGAGCCACAGGTTCAAAATGTTGTAACAATGCACTTTTAAAAAATTCTTGCTCTTCCTCATTCCACTCATTCTCACTTATGGGTAACCACTCTGAGTTCCTGATGTATCCTTTCATTCTTTACTATGGCAAATACAAATCTGTTCTTTTCCTCTCCAACTTTTTTTAATTACAAATATATTCAAACATAGAGGAAAGTTGAAAGACTAATATTTTGAACATTTATTACCTTCTACCTGCTTCAATTAATGTTTTGCCATATTTATTTTCACTCTCTCTCTCTCTCTCCCTCTCTCTCTCTCACACACACACACACACACACACACACTCACACACACTTTAGCAATCAGTTTCCAGAGATAAAAACAACTTCCTACATGACTCCCTACTATTATCACATTTAGGAAAGTTAAAGATAATTCCCTAACATCCAATATTCAGTCCATATTAAAATGTCCCCAATTATCCCCAAAGATGTCTTTCATAACTGTTAAAAAATTTTTGGAACCAGGATTTGATCTAGGATTGTGCCTTGTAATTGGTTTTTTTTTATTACAAATATATTCAAACATAGAGGAAAGTTGAAAGACTAATATTTTGAACATTTATTACCTTCTACCTGCTTCAATTAATGTTTTGCCATATTTATTTTCACTCTCTCTCTCTCTCTCCCTCTCTCTCACACACACACACACACACACACTCACACACACTTTAGCAATCAGTTTCCAGTGATAAAAACAACTTCCTACATGACTCCCTACTATTATCACATTTAGGAAAGTTAAAGATAATTCCCTAACACCCAATATTCAGTCCATATTAAAATGTCCCCAATTATCCCCAAAGATGTCTTTCATAACTGTTAAAAAATTTTTGGAACCAGGATTTGATCTAGGATTGTGCCTTGTAATTGGTTATCATGTCTCTTGGGCCTTAGTCTAAAACCAATCTATCCACTTTCCATTTTTCCCTCATCATATCGACTTCTTAAGAAATCCAAAACAGTTGTGTTGTAGGCAAGTCTTACATCGTGAATTTGAGTAGTTCTTTCCTTATAGTGTTGTTTACCTTGATAGTCTAGTTTCTGTAAACCAGGAATTAGGTGTAGAGGCTTGATTGTAAAAGCTTTCACAAGTTTTGAATGCCATATTCACCATGAGGGCTCGGCAGGGGGCACCTAACATCAAATAGCACTATTAGTGATGCTGTTTGATGACCTGGTTAGGTGATGACCTAAATGTATATTCTTGTTTGCCTCCAATCGTCTCAATTTTAGTCTTTAAAGACAAAGGTAGCACATGGCATATACTCTTCTGTACCTTGGAAGTTCTTGAATCAAGAACTTTATTTTTAATCAAGGCATAGTGAGGATCCATCATGGTTTATTTAGCCAGTCCATTAATGACAGACACTTGGGTTTTTTCCAGTCATTTTCTATTACAATACAAACAACGCTGAAATGAGTAAACTTCACACCCACGTCATTTCCCAGTTGTGCAAAATATAAAATAGGATAAATTCCCAGAAGTAGGAGTATAGGGTCAAAAGATATGCTTATTTATAGTTCTGATAGATAATGCCAATTTCTCTCCATAGATGCAAATTAATTTATTATCCCCTCTGGCAATGTATGGCAATGACCCTGTTTCTGATAACTGCACTAACTCCTCTCCCTTTCTCTCTCTCGTTCAGATGACTTTGATAATGCCTACTTCACAGTTCTCGGTGTTCCCAACAAACCCCTGCAGTGCTTGGTGAGCGTCCTTTGTCCCTGGTTTGCCCTGGAGAGAGGACCTGAATGTCCTTTGTGCACCCAGCACCAAGCACCTCCGGTGCCGATCTCCATTCCGCTCACTTCCTCAGCTACCTCTTTGGGACCCTACTCCGCCCTTCCCATCTCTTTCAGGGGCTTCGGGAGCCCCCTGGGTCAGATGGTTCGAGTGCACCCCGCTCCCTGACTTCCTTCCTCCTGGCAGGACATCACGGAGACCGGCCAGAGGCTCCGAAACAGGTACCACGAGGGAAAGCTGGCTCCCATCGTGCCGGAGACCAGCTGTCTTTTCGCAGTTGAGAGCTTCAGCGGCTATGCGGTGCGGTACTTGAAGCCGGAGGTGACCCAGAACTGGCGGGTAGGAAGGGCTGCTCGCCGACCGGTCCCTGGGCACGCCGGGGTGGAGGAGGACCTGCTAACACGGGGGTCAGGGAGTGGGAGAAGAGACCCGGACCTGGGGTCTCCGAGAGCCCGGAAGGCCAAGATCTCCGGCAGTCAGCGCTGTGTGGGGCGTTGGCGAGGGGCAAGTCCCGTGTCCCCCCTCTTCAGTAGACACCCCCGTCCCTCTGGCCCTCCCCAGTTCTGTCTTAACCAGAATCCCAGCCTGGACCGCTATGGACAGAAGCCCCTGCCTTTCGACTCCTTGTAAGTTACCCCCCACAGACCCCGGGGAACCCCATACCTGAGAAGGAGGCTGGGGTCTTGGCAGCTTTCACTAGCACATACCAAGTGACCCTTGAAAATGTGAGGCCTCGAAAGCATCGATTGGCTCCAAAACACCATAAGAAAATTGCCATTTCAAAATGAGTAAATGTTTAATTTCTACCAAACGGAGCATCCTGTCCTCCAGTCCCTTTCAGAGTGGAGGCGTTGGGTGCGGTGAAGGTGCAGTGTAATCCTGGTGGGATGGCACCTCCCGACGTGGCGGTTCCCAGAGAGGGTCACTCTTCTCCGCCTCGGCCTCACCCTCCTCTATTTCAGGAATGCTTTCCGACGTTTCGGCTCCAACTACAGGTAAGGCCCCAACTGCAGGAGGCGGGGAATGACCCCGCCCCGACCCCGCCCCATCTGGCCGCGCCTCCGGTGGGATCGCGCTCGGCGCCCTCAGCGCTCAGGCTATGCTAAGATCCCTCACCACTCGCAGAGCCTCATGAGAGAGGTGCCCGGGTATTGGTAGCCTCCTGGGTGATGTCCGGAGGATTCGAAGGGCTTCCCCCTGGAGAGATCCTCTCCAGGCAAAAGTGCAGCCTATTGGGAGGTGGAGGGAGCAGTCACTGTTGTTCAGTCCCTCAGTCGTGTCCGACTCTGCGACGACCCCATAGACTGCAGCACGCCAGGTTTCCCTGTCCTTCACCACCTGCCGGAGTTTGCTCAAACTCACGTCCACTCGATTTGACCCAGTCAGGACAAAAGACAAAGATGGGGAGTAGGGGGGTGGGGGTTTACCTGGACAAAGAGCAGGGACAGAAAGAGTTAAGAGATGTATAAGAAATATCATGAAAAGAGCCAAGAATCTGCCTTCCAGGAGGCAGGCAAGGTGGTAAGGACTGGGACTAGTGTTCCCAATAGGAGGATGCAAGATACTCAAGCACCTTCATAACTTGGCTGTCGCCCACCTCTCCAGTCCCATTCCCTACACTTCAGCAGTACCAGACTCCTGGGGGCAACCCAAATCACCCACACAACCGAGCACTCCACATCTTTGCTTGTGCTGTTTCAGTGCCTAGATTATCCTTCCATCTCTGCTTGGAAAACTCCTCCTTACTCTTTAAAGCCCAACCCAGATGTCCCATCCTTCTTGACGTCTTCTCTGACCTTCTGCTTCTCCCCTCCAAATCAAACCACCCCCCTCCAGAGCGTCACCTCATGTGCATCCCTCTCTATTTTGGAGCATGCAGACTATTGCATTATAATTCCAAATTGATGAAAGTTTGCCTTCTCTCATCTACCCTTGCACATACAAGGGAATGCTATCTGTTTTTATCCTACTATATAATGCCTGCCTGAGTAGGTTCACTAAATGACTGAAAAATGAGTCAGACTCACAGGAGATAAGGATGAGGCAAATTGGAAGTGGGGCCTGAAAATCAAAGGGATCAGCCAACAATATATGAAAGGAAATCAGGAGCCAGGGAAGGTTCTTGAGCCATAAGAGACAGGATAGAAGCTGTGTTTTCAGAACCTTGAAGGCAGGGAGGTGAGTTTTGTGGGGAATACCTAGAGAAGGACAACCTGATTTTTTCCCCAGGACACTCTAGAGGCCCCCATCTCACCCCTGTTTCTTTCCACAGTCGTGTCAACTATCTGACCCCCTGGCGTTGATCTGTGAAAAGGAGGCTGACACCCAGGCTGCCTAACTGTGCCACTCACGTTCCCCAGCAGGACAAGGGTATATGGAGGCCATACCCATCTCCCTAAGTAGAAATAAACCTTATACTCCACAGGGAGGCACTCAACCTCTGTGTGTGTGTGTGTGTGTGTGTTGCAAAGGCTAGGGGAGGATCAGAACCTCAGGATGATGATATTTTACCCTAACCTGTCTTCTGCCAGCTCCTGGAGGACTGATGGGGTCTAGGAAAGATGTATCTTGTGACCCCAAGTGAGAGTCAGGGTCTAAGCCTCAAGCCCCAGCTGGGAATGAGGTGCAAACACAGGCTGGGAATTAGGTTCTATCTGTGCCCCTGTCCACTGCTTATAGGCCTGCAGGCAAGCCCCTTCCACCTCAGACTCTGAATTTGAGTCAAAAAGAGAAATGAGAGGGTGCAAAAAGGACTTAAGACCCCTCTCTCAGAAGCCCTTGCCATACCAATATAGGCTGGGGGGCTTCCCTGGGCCTGGGTCCCCTTGAAGAAGTGGAATCAGGCATTGGAGGTTTGGCCGAGGGCCCCGATTCATGGTGAAGCAGCACAGTGTAGAAGTAAGGTGAGGTGCCTGAGGCCACTCAGAGAAGGTTTCCTCTGCCCAGAGCATTGCCAATGAATATACCGCAGAAACAAAAAGTTATCTGCTTTGTCCACAAAGCTTCAGGACTAGTTCTGATTGCCTACCAACCTACAGAAAGGAGGTCTGATGCCCTGCACACAGCCATGGGTTTTCCTGGGCCAAGTCCAGAATAACCCTGCTCAAAGGGTGTGTCAAAGAAGAGTGTCTCAGCGTGGCTGGGGTTAGAGCAGCCAGCCTCAGCACTTAGCTCCAGGATCTTCCAAACACCATCCCACCTGTGGCCAGTCTGCAATGACAGACCCAAATCAGGGTCAGTAGCCACCAAGCTCACGAGGTATTTGAACAGGACTTCTTACACTATGATCTGGGACTTCAGGGATCCACGAACCTTCCAAAGTCATGTGCAAAGCCATGGGTCCACTCACGTGCTTTTTCCATGAAAAATCTCCTTGTTTTCACTCGATTCTCAGGAGAGTCAGTGCCCACAGAGGTTAGGAAACCCTGACTTACATCCTCCTCATCACCTGCAGGTTTAAAAATCCCCAGAGATGAAGAGAGGCCACTGAGCCTGAGCCATTGTCTCTGTGCCCTCAAGTCCCCTCAGTCCCCGGGCTCTTTGCTCCTCATAGAGAGATTACTTTAGAAATTCTCCCTGTGGCCACTGCCTTGGGGACAAGCTTCCATGGCCTCACCTCTAGGCCTTCCTGGCCTGACCCCAAGCCACAACCCAGGCCCTGGGCCTCAACACACTACCCCAGCCCAAACCCCATCACCAGTCTCCTTGCTGTTCCAAACACTCAGGCTCCTGCCTGCCTCCTAACCCTTGGTCAAAGCCTTCCTCCCACATGAAATGCTTTTGCCATCTCTTCCTACCCAAATCTCATCCTTTCTTCCAGGCAGTCCTCTCCCCAGTCTTCCCTTCCTCCCCAGTTCTTCCCCAAGATTATGAGGACAGGAATCATAGCCTCTGGCCCACAGTAGGCTCTTGGGAAATACTGTATTTGCTGGCCCCTCTCATCTGTCCAGTAGGATCTGGGACTTAAGAAGGGGGCCTTGGGCCTCCAAGAACCAACATAAAACCTGGATGAAATGAAACAACTCCTACAAAGTAATAGTTGTGTTTATTACAGAGTAACATACAAGACACATACTCTCACCCTGGGCCTGGCAATAGGGAGGATTGGGGATGGAGGAAGGGTCCTGGCTGAGGGAGGGTGGTGGGAGGGTTGGGGAAGACTCTTGCACGTAGTATTTTGTACTGTATTCCAGCAGCTTTGACATTTTTGACCCTATCTTTTGATATACATGAAAACCTCAAAACTCTCTCATCCCAAGTCCTACCTTCATGCCCAGTTGCACCAGCTTGGGGTCTGGCAAACAGCAGGTGCTCGGTGCTGCTTACAGATGAACAAAGGCAGGAATGCAGACCCAGAATGGGGATGGACATGCACGAAGAGTGAAGAGGGAGATCCCACAAGCCCTGGCCCACCCCCACCCCTCCTCTCGACCTCCTTTTCAAGGCCCTGTGAGGACGACTGGGCATTCCTGCCAGAATCTTTGTAGATCTACGAAAATCAACAGCAGCCAAGGCTTTTCCTAGAGGCATAACCATCAAGGAACAAAGAATGCAGCGGCTTGAGGATGGGATGCGGAGCTTATCACAGGCAAGTCTGGCCCAGGCAGGGAGGCCCTGGGCAACTCTCCAAGGTCTGAGCAGTTTGTGGTCCTCGTCTGGGGCCTGCTCTGGAGAAGGGATGAAGTTGGAGGCTGGAAGGTCAGGTGAAGGCTCTCTATGGAGCTGCCTCTGCACAGATGGGAAGATGCAGAACGGTGGCTCCAATCCCTCAAGGAGTTGAGAGCACGCCACGCCCCCCACCCCCACTGCTGGTGAAGAGCTCTCCTGCTCCCCTGGCCAGCCTGGGTGCCAGCACCAGTCCCGGCCATTGCTCCCAGCTTCTTGGCCAGCAAAGAGTAGGTTGGAACCAGCAAGCCGGGCTCCAGTGGCTGGAGGTGGAGGCCTGTGAGGTTCAGAGCCTAGGACAGTCCCGCCCCACTGCCTCTCCCTGACCTGGCCCACCTGGCCCGCCCCCACAATTCCAGGCCTCTCTCATCACAAACTGTCTGGCTTTGGGAAGCCTCTGGACTTCTCAAGGGTCAGCACAAAGCAGATCTTCAGGTCTGCCCGGCCCGTCTCATGGAGATGGTATGAGGCTCCAACCAACAGGTAGATAGGAAAGTGATGGGGGGGCGGGGGCGGTAAAGACAACCCTGACACTCGGATAGGAGAGCGGGGCTGGCTCCCTTCTGCCTTGGACGTCCCAGTCCTCTGCTTTCCTGAGTGACTGAAACATGTTCAACACTCCACGTGGGTCATTTCACAGGACCCTCATCCTAAGCCCAGAAGAAAACATTACTGGCTCCATTTCACAGATGAGGAAAATAAGGCCCAAAAAGATTCAAAAACCTTCCCAGAGCTTTGGTGCTTATGCGCGGCAGAGGCAGGACTCCAGCCAGGCCTGACTGTGGTGCTCTTAACCACGAGAGCACAGCAGGGCCGCCACGGTTCATGGGCACAGGCTCCACTCCGGGACAGCGGGCTCCTCTCCCACTGCCCCGCTGTGGGGCTGAGCCCAGAGCCGGCCACACAAAGTCAGCAAGATGGTGGGCTCCCTGGGAGAGTTGTCTCTGGTGATCCAGCCTACCATGGCAATGACTTTGAGGACCCAAGAGAATATACACCCACCCAAGCCATGCAGGAGGTATTATTAACTCCAAAATGTGAAACTTATGTTAGTGTTTCTCTCTTTTTTTTTTTTTTGGCTGAGCTATAAAGCATGCAGGATCCTCGACCAGAGATCAAACGTACGACCCCTGCAGCCAGTGGAAGCGCAACAAACTACTGGACTGCCAGGAAGTCCCTATGTTAGCCTCTCCCTCTTAGTCCTCTGGCTCTCATCCAGATGTCACCCCTCACCTCAAGGGACCACCCTCTCCCTATGCTGTCAGTGGTTGGGGCAGAGAAAATGATAAGCCAGAGACTAGATAAGATAGTGCCTGGGACTTCCCTGGTGGTCCAGTGGCTGAGACTCTGCACTCCCAGTGCAGGGGTTCCGGAGTTCAATCCCTGGCCAGGGAACTACATGCCATATGCCACAACTAAGATCCAGCAAAGTCAAATAAAACAAATAAATATCTTTTTTAAGAAAGAGGAAGACAGTGCTAGTTTGTACCCCTAGCCATAATGTTGGCCATTCGCCCATGAAAATTCCATGCTCTAAGGATGGAGTTTGGGAACACAGGAAACTGTGGAGTTCCTGGGTAGGTAGGTGAGAGAGGTTATCTGTGTGTGGTCAGGTACAGTGAAAGGCAGCTGCTTAAGCCAGTTTATGCTGTTTCTGTCACTTACAACCAAGAGAGCAGAATGAGGCAGGTGGGGAGCAGCAGACTGGAGGCCCGGAGAGGCAGGGAGGAGAAAGGGGGCCACAGGTTGATCCCGTCACCTTCCCAGATTCAGGTCTCTTAGGAGCCTCAGAGATCAGAGTCAACACCTCTGCTTCAGATGGAACTGAGATCCCGAGAGAAGCAGAACCTGCCTGGGACCACCTGCTATCAGAGGTCTAAGACCTGAACCCCCAGGCCAGGGCTCCATTTACTGCCCTGGGTTTGGCCCAGGTTGGAGTCCAGAGGCTGAGGGCCAGGTGGGAGCCCCACTGCTTTGTGAGAGATGGAGTGGGGAAAGAAAAAGTCATTACAGCCTCTATGTGAGATCTGCCAGGGCTGCTCCTGCCCCTGGCATATGCGAATCACTGTCTGTCCAGGAAGGGCAACCTGAAGCTATAAAGCACCCAAACACATGCCAGTGCTTCCTAGGAGTTCCTGCAAGGTGGGTGGGCTTTGCTTAAGGTCACTGAGCTAGAAAGGAAGCCAAGATTCAAGCCTGGCAGACACACAAGGGGCCCTGAGCATCATTGCTGAGAGGCAATGAGAGGAAGGAACCACCCAACTTCTCAAGGGCAGGTCCCCCATGGCCACACACGGAGAGAAGCATGGTGTCCTGGTCACATCTGGGGTCCTCCAGCCTCCCCACTAAGCCTTCTGCAGCATTTTGAGTCCCCTGCAGCGAGGGCAACTTATGGTCCTCTTTCTATCTTCACCTCCACCCCACCTTCAGGGCAGGGATCCCTGCTGACCACACTCCACTAGCTCTCAGACTCCAGGCAGAAGTAGTTGCTTCTCCCTTCCTCTCCCCACCTCCACCCTTGCCTGTGAGAAGCAGAAGGAGCCCGGGTTGCAGTTGGCTCCCTGGGGGACAGGGATGGGGGCAGAGAGGGTTCAGGTAGGCTGAGGAGGTGGCTGGGTTGGACATGCAAAGGGATCAGCCTGTGACAGGGTGAGTGGAAATGAGGCCAGAACGGGCCATCCTTGGGGGCGGGGCCCACAGGCTGCTCCAGGAAGGCCCTGGCTTTCCACTGGAGCCAAGGAAGCTCTCCTGCTTACCAGGCTCAGGCCCCAGCTTCTGACCATCCATGACCTGCTGGTCCCTCAGTCCAGCTCCCTCTACAGCAGCTGCAGCAAAACCCCAAAGAGGTCAAGAGGTTGCAGCCTGAGGGTTCCAAGCGTCCTGTGGTTGGCACCGTCAGCATCGTCACAGTTTCTCCCCTGGGGAAGCTCCATATGCAACCCCACTTAACTCTCACAAGAACCAAACAAGGGTTAACCTCCCAATTTTATAGACGAGGCAACTGAGAGCTTGCCCAAAGTCACATGACCAGAGTGTTCCAGACTCTGGATTGGAACCCAGCCTTGGATCCCAGTCCCCAGCCTGGCCCCCCCAGCCTGCACACCACCCCCTCCCCACAGCCCAACATCCCTCTGTGGAAGAATGACCAGAAGAAGCTGTGCTTTGGTCTGTGAAGGTCAATGTCTTTACTTCTAAAGCATACATTGGACTCACTATATATTAACATCAAAAGGCGCTATCTAAAATGGAGTTGTTCTTTTTAAAAACTCAAATCCTCACATTTTTAGATAAGATCCAAAATGACATGAAATTAAACTATACAATGTTATGAACAGTATAACAACTGCTTTCAGAAAGCAAAATGAAAGAAAAGAAAAAGAAAATGAGCACTTGGGACTGTTGTCAGCCTGGGTTCCATGTCTTTTGAGGCATTGTGACTAAAGCCAGCACCGAGGGGAAGGACTGCCCCTCTCTGCAGGCACCGGAAGGGAAACCAGAAGGAGGAGGTGGACGTGGGCTTCTCAGATTTCTGAAGGTGACAGTGGGACAAGGCGGGTCTCCCTGCTCCTCTGGGATTTGGGGGTGGGCACTGATTAAAGTCTCCTTTTAAGACCCACAACCTGGGAGGGGGGTAGGGAGAGGGCAGGGGCAGAGCTGGGTTCAGAAGAATCATTTTGACAGTAAAGATCTTCTGGCCTTCTTGAGAAGAGCCCCAGCCATCAAGTGGTAACAGCTGACTCCATCCACCTGCTGGTTTCCTTAACAACCCTCTTCCCCTGCCCACTCCCTAACCGGGACACCCAAGGCTCCATGAGCCCTGTGGGTAGCGGAGACCTAGGGGGACCCTAAAAGGACCTGAGGGAGAACACTCTGGTCTTGGAAATAGCTGGATGCTGTCCAGAGCATCTTGGCGGCACAAGACCCCTGGAGTACAGGCCAGCAGCCAGGCCGGTGGGGGAGGGGGCCCCGGGGCTGGGAGGGTGCTGTGGGGTCAGAGGCATGCCCACGATCCCTCCACCTCCCCTACCCCGGGTACCCAGGCATGGTCTTGGCCCTGAAGCAGGGCTGGGGTAAGCTGATTAGGGCCACGCCCTTGAGGCTTTGGTTCACAGGATTTGATTCGAGTGAGCAAGTGACACTTGTTCCCATCCACTGGGAAGATGAAGGGCTTGGCCCTTCCACCTCCCGGGCACCAGGGGGGGGTCTAACAATCCCCTTTTTTCACATCAGCAGTTCTGTCTGGCTGAGGGCACATTCCCCACCTGCGCTTGGAACTCTGCCGCAAAGGTGGGAGGGGCGCTTCCAAAACGCTGGGATGAGCCCTCGTTGCAAAGGCTGCCTTTCCTCCTTTCCCCAGGGACAGCGCTGTCCCCGGCTGAGCGCGTCAAGGAAGAACTTCTCTGCCTCCCCCTTCCGGCTGGGCCAATCGCTCTCCAAGCAGACCCGGCCCACAGCTGTGCAGCACTGCTGTGTGTCTGCCTGTCAGAACCCTGGAGGGTGCGCTGCCCCTAGCTGAAGTGGACAGAGGGGCCTGAGGCTCACAGGTTGCCTTCCTGGAGTTAGCCTTCCCCCTCAAACAGCAACCTGAAGGGGGCCACCCTGCGCCCAGGCCCTCCCGTGACCCTCCTCTTTCCTAACCTATCTGCTTTCTCTAGGGAGGCTGAAAGGTCTGGGAAGGTTGGGCTAGCACCACCCCCTCCTTGGGGTGGAGAGAGGCCAGTTCGACTTCCAGCCTGGTTCCATTGAGAAAAGGGAGGCTGAGGTCTCTCAAGAGAGCGAATCCTGTAAGGGGAAAGAGGTTTGCAGGATCAAGACCAGCCACGGCCATCTGCCCCCCACCCCCACCTCCTCCAGGCCGGTACCAGGGGTGCCAGGCACCCACACCCTCCACCTGCCCGGGTGCCCTTTCATCCTCACGCCCAGGGCCAGGTCCGGGGATGGGCGCGAGGGGCCGGGCCGGGGCCGCAGCTGGGGCTCAGGGCAGGCAGGCGGCTACCTGGTAGGCGCCCTCGGCCGCGGCGGCCGCGGCACTGTGCTGCGCGCTGTGCTCCTGTAGCAGGGCCACGTCCAGGAAGCGCTCGCCGCACCACACGCACTTGAACTGCTGCTCGCGGGCGTGCACGCCCTGGTGCTTGTTGAGGTGCTCGCGCTGCTTGAAGGCCTTGTCGCAGTTGGGACACTTGTAGGGCTTCTCGCCCGTGTGCACCCTCCGGTGCCGCTGCAGGTCGGAGGCGTACTTGAAGCGCTTGTCGCAGTCCGGGCACTTAAGCGGCTTCTCGCGGGCCGGGTCGCAGCGGTGCTGCACGAACTCGGAGGACGAGAAGAAGCGGCGCTCGCACAGCGTGCAGCGCAGGGGCTTCTCGGCCGCCGAGCAGTGGGCCAGCTGGTGCTTCTGCAGGGCCGAGGCCCGCTTGTAGGCCTTGTGGCACACCGGACACTTGAAGGGCCGCTCGGCCGCACCCGGCAGGCACTTGTGCCGCAGCAGCTCGGCCGACTGGTCGAAGCCCTTCTGGCACACGGGGCACTTGAAGAGGGTCTCGAGGGTGTGCACGTGCTGGTGGTAGAGCAGGTGGCTGGGCTGCCCGAAGCCCTTCTCACACAGGCCACACTTGAAGGGCTCCTCGGCCTTGTGCGTGCGCCGGTGCCGCATGAGCGCGTACTGCTGCTTGAAGCCCATGGGGCACAGGTCGCACTTGAAGGGCCGCTCGGCGCTGTGCGTGCGCTCGTGCTGCCGCAGGTCCGACGGCCGCTTGAAGGCCTTCTGGCACTCGCTGCAGCGGAAGGGCCGCTCCCCGCTGGGCGTGCATGGGTGCTGCAGCAGCTCCGACGACTCCTTGAAGTGCAGCTCGCACACGTTGCAGCGGAACAGGTGGTGCTCGCCCGAATGCGCGTACATGTGGCGCACGAGGTGCGAGCGGTGCTTGAAGGTCTTCTCGCACACCGCGCACTTGTACGGCCGCTCCGAGCTGTGCGTGCGCTTGTGGTGCACCAGGTGCGAAGACTGGCTGAAGCTCTTGTCGCACAGCGTGCACTTGTAGGGCTTCTCGCCCGTGTGGATGCGCTCGTGCCGCGAGAGCTCCGACAGGTGCTTGAAGGGCTTCTGGCAGATGGGGCAGCTGTAGGGCTTGTCGGCCGACTCCGCTGGGGCCACGGCGGGCGGAGGCGGGGGTGCCGGTGGCAGGGAGGGGGCGGCGGTGGCCTCGGGCTCGGCCGCCTCAGCGGGCTTGTAGGTCTTCTCGCAGATGGAACACTTCACAAGGCCCCCGGTGCTGCTGTGGGCACTGTGGTGCTGCGCCAGCGATGTGAGCAGCGAGAAGCCCATCTTGCAGACACCGCAGACGAAAGGTTTCTGCTCGGCCTGCACGCACTGGTGCTCCAGCAGGTCGGTAGCCTGGTGGAAGATTTTAAGACACTGCGTGCACTGGAACGAGCGGTCATGGCCCGCCAGACACTGGTGCTCATGGGGGCTGGACAGGTGCGCCAGGTCGTGACCGCACACGCCACACTTGGGGCCCGGCTCCCCCGCGGCCTGCAAGGGCACGTGCTGCGGGGGCTGCAGGCCCGGCTCAGGCTGCAGGAGGATGCCATAGACCGCGCAGCCCAGGGGGTTCTCAGCCGTGCCTGGAGGCAGCGTGTGCTCCGCCAGGGCCGGTGGGGGTTCAGCATGGTGCTGCGGCTGTGGGGGCTGAGGCTGCTGCGGCTGCGTCTGCGGCGGCTGCTGCCAGCTCTCTGACATGCTTGGGAAGATGAAACAGGGTTTGGAGAGTAATGGCTTCAGTTTCCCTGCTTAAGGTGACCCACACCAGAGAGAGAAGCTGCCCAGGATCAGGGATGGACGAGGACCTCGGACAAGGCACGGAGTGGGACTGGTCAGGCAGTCCAAGTCATTCACCAAGACAGACTACAAGGCTGTGCCTACAGGACGGGGGTCTTCGGGCAGGGTGCCAGGAGTGGCAGGGAGGCTCTGCAGAGAAGAAAGAAATCGTGAGCTTGAGGCAGGGACACACAGCTGTTCCGGGGGCCTCTCCCTGATCTGCCTGCACTTGCCACATTGACATAAAACACATCAGGGAAGTGAAGGGGGCTCCGGACAGGGAGATCTTCACTTGCTGGCAGCGCAAGTCCTCCAGTAAAGGGGATGGTGGCTGTCTCCAGGCCCACCCATCCTCAGTTCCCCATCTCTTAGCCAGGCATCCCAGTCTCCCAGCTTACTGCCAACCCGCTTCCATTAGCTGTCTCACAAGTGAGTCTGGGGTGATCTGTCCACAATACAAAGAAATCACAAGTTCTGTTCATGCTCCCAGGAAAGAAGGAGGGGAAGACTGACCGGTGAGGGCCTTGGTGCACAAAACAAGAATTTTAGTAACATAACCTTTTTTTATGTGTGTGCAAAACACTTCTTATTTGGAAGCCTAATACAGAAGATAGATAAAAGCAGAGAGGCTCTGGTTGAGGTCTCCCTGTAGACCTGCCAGCTCCTCTCCTGTCGCTGCCCTGAATTTCAACCCAGGACACAACTGCTCATAAGAACAGACTGTAGATCTAAAAGGCCAGACCTCCCAGATCTGAAGGCCCCTCAGTCAATCAATATTTAAAACCCTGCATGGAATGGAGGCCCATCTCAGAAAACTCCTGTGAGGGGCTGACCCATACCTCTCTCAATTGTCCCCAGGTCCTCCCCCCTGACTGTGTGCCTGTTCTCTCTTCACACAATAAGAGGAATGGTTTTGCAGGGACCTGAGCCAATGCCTGATGAGGACGAGACCCACAGACCCACACAGCCTTGATGGGTACTCGGCAGAAGTTCCCCAGGCTAGTCATCTCCCAGAGCACCAAAAAAGAAAAAAAGCCTTAAATCCTCTTAATATGATAGTGTCAAGGCCTGCAGGAAATGTAAGCAATTTTGAGTTTGCCTCTGCAATGTGGGATGTAGCATGCTAACCATCCCTGTCACCTTTCCGGAGACAACGCTGTTCCCTTGCTCCAAGTCTGTAACACTTTGGATAATCCATAGAAGGTAAAGACCACCCAGCCCAGGCAAATCTCTAACTCACCACTTTGTGGCAGCATAAGGTAATGACAGCGAGAGGGAGGAACTTTTAGAATCAGATGCAACCCGCTTTCAGGTTCCCAGCTCCTCTGCTTCTAACATTGAAAAGTTTGTAAGTTTTCTCCGGATGAAAAGAGAAGGAAGGGGATGCCTTCACAAGCCAGCCTGGCCTCTAACTGTTCTGCCAAAGAAACATAAGAGTCAGACTAAAAACTGTCAGCCTCAGCATCTTTCCGGGAAGGAAAGAAGTGAAGAAGCCGCTGCTCTGAGTGGAGGCAGCAGGTTGCATGAGCCAGCAGGTACCAAAGCCTCCCCAGGAAAGAGGGAAGCAGGACTACTCTGAGCCAGGTCTAGGTCAGGCTGCGCCAACCCAACTGTTGTTTTTTTTTTTTTTTCCCTGGCATGAATGGCTGCCAGACCCAGGGTCCCCAGTCCCGGGCCCCCAGGTCCGCTGCCCATTCCGGCCCCCCCTCCAGGAAGGTGCGGTCAGGAGGCCTCTCTGATCACCCGGCAAAGAGGATGAGAGACTAGGGTTAGGGAGGCAAGGGGAGGCCCCCACCTGCGCCCCACCCCAGCCCTTCCTCTTCCTTGGGAAACCAAATGAAAGCCGATCACCTCCCCGCCGGCACTGCCCGCCGGCCCAGCTGGGCTGCCTCCTGTCAGCCCTCGCCGGGAGCCAGGACGCTGCGGCCCCGGCGCCGGACCCGCGGGCGAGTGGGCCCGAGAAAGGCCCCAGGGCTGCAGGCCGGGCCCGGGAGGTAGCTGCGTGTCGAGGTTGGCCTGGGCCGCCCAAGAGCTCAGGAGGCCTCAGACGCGGCCCCGGGCGCCCCGCCGCTCACCTGCTCCGGGCCGCCCGCGGGGTCAGGCGCGGGGCGAGTGGCGACTGGCTGCTCTCTCAGCCGCCCCTTTATTCCGACTCCATCCGCGGCAGCGCGGCCTACGCGCGCTGCCAATCCCCGGCCTTGCGTAGCGGCGGCTGCCGGCCCGGGGGCGGGGAACGGGCTAGCGGCGGCCGGAACCGAGGAAGCGACGTGCGCGGCCGGGATAGCGGGGCCGGGGCGGAGGAGCGCTGGGAGGGCGGGCGGACGGAACGATGGCCTTGCAGAGACCGGCGGACAGGCGGGCGGCGCGGGGGCCAGGGAGGCGGGGCCGGGGGAGGAGCGGCAGCCCGGGCGGCGGCGGCTGCGGGAGGAGCGGGAGGCACGGAGCGAGGCCGCCCCCTGCCGGGGACCCCGCGGCCGGGCCGGGTCGGACAGCCGGACGCGCTGGGTGGCTCTCCGGTCGCTCGGCCGGCACGTCTCTGCTGACCTAGGAAGGGCGCTCTGCTTCGAACCACCCTACTCGGCCTTACGGGAGCGAGCTCCCAGGGTCCGGCCCACGGCCCGACCCCTGAGCCTGAGAGGAGAGCCCTCCTAGACCCTCTGATCTTCTGGAACGGACCCCGCCTGTGACTGTTCAGCTCGCTCTTAGGGGAGGAGGGCCCCCAGAGCTCGGACTTTGGGCGGGGCTTGAGGAAGGGGCCCCGGGACCTCTGACCCCCGTCCGGACGGCTAGGGCAAGGATCTCCGCTGGGTCTAACGCTCTGACCTCTGACCCAGGGACCATCGGCTGCCGGGAGGTCCCGAGCTGCTGCAGACTGAGCAGCGAACAGAGAGGTCAGGACCCAGAACGATCTCTGAAATGGGCACACGGAGGATGGCCGTGACAGGAGGATCCGAGGGAGCGGTCACAGCGAGGCCAGCAGGCATGCAGCGTGGTCTGGGTGGGTACAATCTTTGCTCCCTTCCTGCCGGGCCCCGCCCCCGCACCCCGCCCCGAGGCGGTGCTAATTTGTGCCCCGCCCCCGGGAGAGCACTTCCGGCACAGAGGAATTCCGGGTGCGGTGAGATTGCTTGCCGACCCTCTGTGCGGTCGTGAAGGTGGGTGGGGGGGTGCCTCATGAGTGCGGTGCTCCTCGTGGGCTACAGCAGCAGCGGCTCGGAGGATGAGGCCGAGGCCGGGGCCCGGGTTCGGCCGGGGGCTGAAGGCCGCAGTCGGTGAGGAGCGATGAAGTCTTTCTGGGGAAGGGTGATTGGGGAGGGTCCGGGGCTGCTCGCGAGGGAAGGAAAAGGGGCACGGGGTGGGCGGGGGGGGGAGGAGGATCCAGACCGAGCCCCGGTGTGCCCCTACCTGGCTGGGTCAAGGTTAGGAGGCAGGAAACGGGGTGGGTTTGGGCCCAGCCTCGGGCGCCGGCCCACTCTGTCTCCTGGCACGCACCACTGTACCACCGTAGGTCTGTTTCCCCATTTGGAAAGTGTTTTCTTTAATCTAATAAATATTCATGGAGTACTCTCTCCGCGCCAGGCTGGGAACTGGGTACTCAGCAGTGAGCAAAGTAGGAAGTCTCCTACTTTGTGGAGGAGCTTCGGTTCTTAATTGCCAGGCCTGGTACCTGCTGAGTGCTTTTCATGTAGCATGTTGGTTCATCTCACTTTATGGATGAGGAAACGGAGGTCCACAGAGAGCATATGACTTGCCTAAGACCACAGAGCTAGGAAGTGTCAGTCTGGCTCAGGCCTGTCCAGCTAGGCCTCCACATGTTGCCACCTGCTCCTTTGTTTCCCATGGGGACCACGTTCCTTCCAAAGTCTGCTTCCAGGAGCGTTGTTCACTCAGTCGTGTCCGATGCTTTGCAACCCCATGGACTGCACCCCAAGCAGCACCCCAGGCTTCCTTGTCCTTCACCATCTCCCCAAGCTTGCTCAAACTCATGTCCATTGAGTTGGTGATGCCATCCAACCAATTCATCCCCTTCTCCTCCCACCCTTATTCTTTCCCAGCATCAGGGTCTTTTCCAGTGAATCAGCTCTTCACATCAGGTGGCCATAGTATTGGAACTTTAGCTTCAGCACTAGACCTTCCAATGAATATTCAGTTGATTTCCTTTAGGATTGATGGTTTGATCTTGCAGTCCGGGGGACTTCCAAGAGTCTTCTCCAGCACCACAGTTTGAAAGCATCAATTCTTCGGCCCTCAGCCTTCTTTAATGTCCAACTCTCACATCTGTACATGACTGCTGGAAAAAACGTAACTTTGTTGGGAGACACGAATGAAAGAGTGTTGGGGAAAGAGCTTGTCGTTATCTAGAAGCTGCGCATGGTACCTGGTGAGAAATAGACATGCAGAGTCACCCTGTACGTGGGGTTACAACTTTCCTCATGCGTACAGACATAGACAATGTAGGAAGCTAACTGGGCTTATTTTCTTTCCTCTTGCAGGCGCCAGAGCCCCCTTCCCAGCCAGAGGTTGCCAGTACCCGACAGTGTGCTGCACATGTTCCCTGGCACTGAGGAGGGGCCTATGGATGATAGTGCAAAACATGGGGGCCGGGTGCGCACATTTCCCCACGAGCGTGGCAACTGGGCCACCCATGTCTACGTACCTTGTAAGTAATGCCTGAGAGACATGTGGCTGACACCGACAGGTGCCTCTTATGGGAGGAGGCTGGCCCCAACCAGGAGGAAGCCAGAGACCTCAACCTCTGACTCAACAGAGAGAGGACAAGTTTCAAGAACTAGGGAATTTTTCTGTTACACTTGATTTTAGTTTTGAATTCATTGCCTGAAATACTTTTTTTTATTAACCCTGTGTATACTGTTCTCCCTGCTTGTGGGGATGTGACCAAGGGAGGGTCTAGGACAGAGTGTCAAGGCCATCGCACAGTGCAACTGTAACTGGTCCTTTGTTTCTAAGAGGGCTATAGGTGTGCTGGCTTCAAGTCCCACCCCACCCTAGCCCTAAAGAGTGAGTGGCAGGCATCAAAAGCCCAGGCTTCAGAATCTGACCTCCCTCCATTACCCACTACTCTGGGTGCCCCTTAGTTAAGTTGTTGGAGTTCTCAGACCCCCAGTTTCCTCATCTCTAAAATGGGGATGGTAGTAATACCTATATGGGGACAGTAAAATACCTCTAGGACTTCTGTGATGATTAAATGAGATAATCAGTGTCAAGTTCTTAGCACAATACACAGAGCACGTGGTGACTCTTACTACTTTGTGTTAGATCAGGTAAACTCTTAGAACCTCCATTTTCCCATCCACAGAATGGGAATGATTCTCTATATTCCCTATTCCACAGGAAGTGAAGTGAAGTCGCTCAGTCATGTCTGACTCTTTGCAACCCTGTGGACTGTAGCCTACCAGGCTCCTCCATCCATGGGATTTTCCAAACCCACTAGAGTGGGTTGCCATTTCCTTCTGCAGGGGATCTCCCCAACCCAGGGATCAAACCCAGGTCTCTAGCATTGGAGGCAGACGCTTTACCGTCTGAGCCACTGGGGACGTCCTAAAGTGAAAGTTGCTCAGTTGTGGCACTTTCATTCCACAGGGCATCTGGGCAAATTGAGTAACTCATCAGGTGTGAGCAGATTATTAACCATGGAGCTCTAGTCATATGTTTGGCTTAAAAAACAGATCTGTGAACATACAGTGGTGTCCTTCTTGTGTTCTTCGTCTTTATAAACAATTAGAAACATTCTACATGTCTGTCAGGAGATTCTAGATGTCTAATAAATGTCTGATTAAAGAAATGCACTGTTTCTAACCTAAGGATGGGTTACTGTGGCGCTGTAATCATGAGCTTGCCTTCTGTAATGAGAGGAAGGCTGTCCAACATGTAGTGTTATATGGAGAAAGCTCAGGGAAGAGCTGCATGCCCTCATCTTTAAAAAAAAATAAAATATATACATTGGCACAGCACTGAGAAAAGCTAGGGAAATAAGCATCATGTTTGACAGTCTTTGTCTCTGGAGTAGTGGTCTTGAAAGTGGGGTCTGTGCCCTGAGGGAGAGATCAAGGTGACCTCTTAGAAAGAAAAGCATTAAGACTTTTTAATGTATTTCTCTTTATCTCAACTTTTTAAGTTTCTGTTCTGCAGAGTGTCCATTTTATAACATAATTTTGCAGTGGAACGCATGTTTGTAATTTATTAATAAATGCACATTTACTGTAGGTATGTGTGCAAGCTTGTTTGATTAATGCACGTGTGATCACAGTGACTTGGATACCCCTGCTTTAGATGTGGACTTAAAAGACCCCTGCTTTCTCTGTCACATATTTCTCTTTTTACTCAAATTCTTTTCAAAAAGCATATGTATGTATATGTATCAGTTCAGTTCAGTTCAGTTGCTCAGTCATGTCCACCTCTTTGCGACCCCATGGACTGCAGCATGCCAGACCTCCCTGTCCATCGCCAACTCCTGGAGCTTACTCAAACTCACATCCATTGAGTCCATGATGCCATCCAACCATCTCATCCTCTTTTGTCCCTTTCTCCTCCTGCCTTCAATCTCTGCCAGCATCAGGGTCTTTTCAAATGAGTGAGTTCTTTGCATCAGGTGGCCCAAGTATTGGAGTTTGAGCTTCAACATCAGTCCTTCCAATGAATATTCAGGGTTCATTTCCTTTAGGATGGATTGGTTGGATCTCCTTGCAGTCCAAGGGACTCTCAAGAGTCTTCTCCAACACCGTAGTTTAAAAGCATCAGTTCTTCGGCACTCAGCTTTCTTTATAGTCCAACTCTCACATCCATACATAACTACTGGAAAAACCATAGCTTTAACTAGACAGACCTTTGTTGGCAAAGTAATTTCTCTGCTTTTTAATATGCTGTCTAGGTTGGTCATAACTTTTCTTCCAAGGAGCAAGCTATATGTGTATTCTATAACCATAAATACATATTAAAATATGATTAGAATACATAGACATTGGCTGGGCTTGCCAGGTGACTCAGTGGTAAAGAATCCACCTGCCAGTATACAAGACACAGGTTTGATCCCTGGGTCAGGAAGATCCCCTGGAGAAGGAAATGTCAACCCGCTCCAGTATTCTTGCCTGGAAAATCCCATGGACAGAGGACCCTGGTGGGCTACAGTCCATGGGGTCAAAAAGAGTCAGACGTGGCTTAGCGACTAAACAACAACAAGATGTAGGCTGCTCTCAAAGTAACTTTCTCTTAAAACCTAGAGTTTAGGTTTAAAATCTAGCCTTTCTCTGCTCCTGGCCATCATGTGGCCATCCTGCTAAGAGAATGGCCCACCCTCTCCACTCTTCTCCTCCAGATGAAGCCAGGGAGGAGTTCCTGGACCTGCTTGACGCACTGCTGTGCCACGCGCAGACATATGTCCCCCGGCTAGTGAGGATGGAAGCCTTCCACCTCAGCCTGTCCCAGAGCGTGGTTCTGCGCCACCACTGGATCCTCCCCTTCGTGCAGTCTCTGAAAGACCGAGTGGCCTCCTTCCAGAGGTGAGTGTCCCATGCTTCTGTCTGCTTCCCCTCCAAGGCTCCTCTTCCCCTCCCAAGTTCCCATGAGGAGGGACCTGTGGGATGGTGTTACCCCAGCAAGCAGGCCAGACCTAGAGGTTAGCGCACTGAGTATCTCCCAGAGCTATGCGCTGTTCACGTCATCCCATGTGACTTTGATGTATGAAACAGAACCCGTAAGATGTATATAGGTAAGAAGAGACTTATTACAGGTATTGGCTTATGCAGTTATGGAGGTCAAGAAGTCCACTATCTGCCATCTGCAAAGAGAGAACCAGGAGAGCTGGTCATGTAATTCAGTTTGACTCCAAAGTCCTAAAAAATCAGGGGACTGGTGATGTAAGTCCTGATACGAGCCTGAAGGCCTGAAAACCAGGAGTGCCGATGTCAGAGGGTAGGAGAAGATGGATGTCTCAACTCATGCAGGGAAGGGGAGTTTGTCCTCCCCTTCTCCTCTTCCAAGGGATCTTCCCAACCCAGGGATCAAACCCATGTCTCCTGCATTGGCAGGTGGATTCTTTTACCACTGAGCCACCTAGGAAGCCCATAACTTGAATGCCAATTAACAACACTTAAATACTAAACTAAAGTCATTACATCTTATATTATGTGATAAGGGAGTAAGAGAAGAAAACAAAGATGTTTGCTTAATATACGTACAGGCAAATCTTGCTTTATTATGTTTCACCAATACAGCATTTTTTAACAAACCGAAGGTTTGTGGCAACCCTGCATTGAGCAAGTCTGTCAGCATCATGTTCCAACATTTGCTCTTATGTCTGTCATATTTTGGTAATTCTTGCAATATTTCAAACTTTCTCATTATCCTTATATTTGTTATAGTGATATTTGACATTACTATTGTAATTGTTTCGGGGTGCCAGGAGCCACACCCATGTAAGAGGGCAGACAACTGATAAATGTGAATATTCTGACTGCTCCACCAACCAGCCATCCCCCACATCTCTGTCCCTCTCCTTGGGCCTCCCTATTTCCTGAGATACAACAGTGTTGAAATTAATAACCCTACGCTAGCCTCTTAAGTGTTCAAGTGAAAGGAAGGGTCACACGTCTCTTACTTTAAATCAAAAGCCAAAAATGATTAAGCCTAGTGAGGAAGGCATGTCAAAAGTGGAAGGAGACTGGAAGCTAGGCCTCTTGTCCCTGTTTGCCAAGTCGTGACTGCAAAGGGAAAGCTCTTGAAGGAAATCAAAAGTGCTCCTCCAGCAAATGCAGGAATGATAAAGCAAAAGAGCCTGGAGAAAGTGTTAGTGGTCTGGACAGATGATGAAACCGGCCACGGCATTCCGTTCAGCCAAAGCCTGATTCAGAGCAAGGCCTTAACTCTTCAATTCTGTGAAAACTGAGAGAAGGGAGGAAGCTGCAGAAAAGTTTGAAGCTGGCAGAGGTTGGTTCATGAGGTTTAAGGTAAAAAGCCATCTCCATAATATGAAAGTGTAAGATGAAGCCACAAGTGCTGATGTAATGCTGCCGCAAATTACCCAGAAGATCTAGCTAAGATCATTAATGAAGGTGGCCACACCAAGCAACAGATTTTTCAGTGTAGATGAAACAGCCTTCTATTGGAAGAAGATGCCAGCTAGGATTTTCATAGCCTGAAAGGGAGTGTCAGTGCTTAGCTTCACAGCTTCATAGAACAGGCTGACTCTCTCGTTAGGGGCTAATACAGCTGGTGATTTTAAGTTTAATCCAATGCTCATTGCTATTTCAAAAATCCTAGGGCCCTTAAGAATTATGCTAAAGCTACTCTGCTGATGCTCTATTAATGTAACAACAAAGCCTGGATGACAGCACATCTGTTGACAACCTGGTTTACTGAATGTTTCAAGCCCACTGTTGAGACACCCAGCTCAGAAAAAAGATTCCTATCAAAATATTACTGCTCAGTGACAATGCACCTGGAGACCCAAGAGCTCTGATGGAGATGGACAGATGAGGTCAGTGTCATTTCTATGTTGCTAACATAACATCCGTTCTGCAGTCCGTGGATCAAGGGGGTAAATTTCAACCCTTAAGTGTTATTTAAGAAATGGGTTTCATTTAGGTTATAGCTGCCATGGATAATGATTCCACTGATGGATCTGGGCAAAGTCAATTGAAAACCTCTGGAAAGGATTCACCATTCTAGATGCCATTAAGAACATTTGTGATTCATGGGAAGAGGTCAAAACACCAACATACACAGGAGTTTGGAAGAAGTTGATTCCAGCCCTCATGAGTGACTTTGAAGGATGCAAGACTTCTTCAGTGGAGGAAGTAACTGCAAATGTGATGGAAGAAGGAAGAGAGCTAGAATTAGAAGTGGAGCCTCACAATGGGAGTGAGTTGCTGCCGTCTCATGATAAAACTTTAATGGCTAAGGAGTTGCTTCTTATCGATGAGCAGAGAACATGGTTTCTTGAGATGGAATCTACTCCTGATGAAGATGCCATGAAGATTGTTGAAATGACAACAAAGGATTTAGAATATTACATAAACTTAGTTGATAAAGCCGTGGCAGGGTTTGAGAGGATTGATTCCAATTTTGAAAGAAGCTCTCCTGTGGGTAAAATGCCACTAAACAGCATTGCACTGCATGCTACAGAGTAATTGTTCATGGAAGGAAAAGAAGGTTGATGGAGCAAACTTCATCATTTGCCTTATTGTCTTATTCTAAGAAATTGCCATCACCACCCCAGTCTTCAGCAACCACCACCTTGACCAGTCAGCAACCATCTACACTGAGGCAAGACCCTCCACCAGCAAAGAGATTATGACTCACTGAAAGCTCAAATGATGGTTAGCAGGTTTTAGTAATAACGTATTTTTAAAATAAAGTATGTAGATTGTTTCTTTAGATATAATGCCTTTACATGCTAAGTTGACTGCAGTGTAGTATAAACATTACTTTTATATGCACTGAGAAGCCAAAAAATTGTGACTCACTTTATTGCAGTATTCACTTTATTGCCATGTTCTAGATCCAAACTCACAGTGTCCCTGAGGTGTCCTGTATTTATACTCACAGATGTATTCATAAAATAAGGAAATTCTCATGATGATTACAGTCCTCATTTCTGTAACTGGTCACATGATCGCAGCTGATTTTTACAGCTACCTTCCACTTCCTACCTCTCTATTCCCTTTGTCTTTGGCAAGCACCTCAGGTGGTTATGGTTCTTTACCTGGGGTAGTGACCTAAACCTTTATTCCTGAAGGGTCTGGGTGATTACTAGTCCTGCCTGGGTTGGTTGGTGTAATTTTCCACTGGCCTGAAGTCAGTAGGCATGGTTAATACTAAAAGATCTAACAGATCTCCTGTATCCCAGACATCCTCTGCCTTATTTCCATCATGGAGTCCTAGTCCAATTTCCCCTTGGTAGTCAGGATCAAGGACCCCAGCCAACATTGGAACTCTTTGTTGATTCAAAGGTGCAGGAGCCCAAGGTGGCAGGTCTTTTTTTTTTTTAATATATTTGGCTGTACCGTGTCTTAGTTGCAGCATGTGGGATTAGTTCCCCAACCAGGGATCAGACCCTGGCCCCCTGCATTGGGAGTGTGAAGTCTTAGCCACCGGACCACCAGGGTGGCAAGTCTCAACTTCCAGTTCAATGAAAGCACTATGTCTCCTGTGGGAAGCATTCCTCCCTCTGGAACCAAGACCTCTGGGCTACCAGAGCATGAAGTTGTGGGAACAGAAAGTAAACATTTTGCTGATGGATCACTCATATTAGTGGTTCCACTCCCATTTCACCCCTTGATTCCTGGCCCCGTGAATCCTGGCTACGGGAGAATCAGCACCATATGTGTCTGCTGATTCAGAGCAGATAACAGATAGCGTGGGTTCTGTTAGAGAATAAAGTAAATGAAAAGTGTTAGTCACTCAGTTGTGGTCGAGTCTTTGCGACCCCACGGACTGTAGCCCGCTAGGCTCCTCTGTCCATGGAATTTTCCAGGCAAGAATATTGGAGTGGGTTGCCATTCCTTTCTCCAGGGGATCTTCCCGACCCAGGAGTCAAAGCTGGGTCTTGTGCATTGCAGGCAGATTTTTTTACCACCTGAGCAACCAGGGAAGCCCAAGAATACTGAAGTGGGTAGCCTATCCCTTCTCCAGGAGATCATCCCGACCCAGGAATCTAACCCAGGTTTCCTGCATTGCAAGCAGCTTCTTTACCATATGAGCTATGTGGGAAGCCCCCTGTTGTTGCTTAGCCAGGGTCAGAGTTGTCTTTTTTTTTTAACCTGCAAGGAAAAAATTGGCCCTTAAGTCATCTATTAACACCAACCTGATGATGTCTTTCTCAGTTCCCATCAGTAAAGCTGAGATAGTCTCAAATTACTTATCAAAAATCAACTGCTCTTAATAAAGCAAAATTTTTGCTAGCATCTGAAGAAAGCTATGGGTTACCTGAATTCGGCAATTATTTAAGGTCTTGCCCAGCTCTTGTCTTTTAGGGTTGAGTTTACCACCTGTATAATGGCGTGACAGTACTACATGTGAAATGAGTTAACTATAGTTTCAAAGTGATATTTTTTTAATATAAACTGTTTTCTCTAAACATTTTTTTCTTAGCATTTTTCCTGAAATGTGGTTCTTCTTCTGAATTTCAGATTCTGCTTTACCGCCGACAGGGTAAAGATTTACACCAATCAAGAGAAAACCAGGTGGGTCTCCCTGCTCTGCCCCAAGTTGTTGCCAGAAAAGGATTCTTTGCAGTAAAGACTTGAGGGGGCCTTTTCTGTCTCATTTTTGGGTTTGTTTGTGTTTTAACCAGCTCTATGACTACCGAGGCAGTTGTCCCCAAATCTGAACCTTTCATTAAGAAAAATAACTCTGGGAGCCTGAGAGGAGGAGCAGAGGTAGAGAATAACATCTTGGTTTAGTGGGAAAAGCCTGAGACTCAAAAAAAACCCTGGGTGCCAGCCCAGCTCTGTCTCCAATTTAACGTTGAGCTCATACCTTCAACCTCTGTGACCTGTCATTTCCAAGCTGTCACAGGCGTGCCCTGACACATCTATCAGTGGGCAGTTGTGAGGCTCAAATGAACTGAATGAGTTTTATAAAAAGCATTCAAGGATGAGATGAACAAAAGAAATTGTTATTAACAAGGCTTCAAAGCACACCTCCTTGTCAGATCCACTCACTGAGTTGCCTTCAGCTCTCAGCACCTCTGAGAGGACGGCTCATTCCTTCATTCTGCAAAATTGGTTCAGCACGTCCTGGTGCCAAGGACTTGCTGTGCACCGCAGATGAGCAATGAAAAGGTCAGCAGTCCTTGCTCTTTGGGGTCTCACGTTCTGCAGGGGGAGATAACCAATGAACAAGGAAATGAGACTGTTAGAAACTACTGTGTGATGTGAGTGTGGATCATGCAGCCAAGGACAGCCCTAGGGCGCTGGCATTTGCCAGTGATCTAAGGATGAGAAAGTAATGAGCCTTGGGAAACGCTGCTGAGCCTCCAAGCAGAGGACACAGCCGAGGAGGTGGTCTGAGGAGGAAGGAGCCTGTCTTGTTTGAGGAGGCCAATGAAGCGGAACCCAGGGAGCGAGTGGGAGAGTGGGAGGAGATGAGTCAGGCCGGGTTAGCTCCTGCCGGGCCTTCAAGGTCAAGGTCAGGAGTTTGCAGGGTCATGGAAGCCACTGGAGGGATCTGCACAGAGACGTGATCCAACTTATGTTTGTAAATGTCAGCCTGGCCCAATTGTGTCTGTGGCTCCTGTGTGGAGACAAGATGTAAAGGAGATTGGATGCAGAGAGAGAGAGAAGAGACAGGTGTCACCGTCCAGGTGAGGCGCCAAGGGTGTTGTGACTCAGGGTGATGGCAGTGCAAGGGCCAAGAAGCAGACGCATTCCTGATACACCACAGGTGGAATCAGCCAGCATCCGCAGTGAGTCCGACCTGTGCACAGTAAGGGGAAGAACCAAAGTTGATGCCTGGACTTGGGGTTTGAACAGCCGGGTAAATAAATGGTCCCACGTCCCGAGGTGGGAAACACCGGTGGGAGGGAAATCAGTTTTTCTTTGTTCCCAGTAGACGTTACCACTGACGATACCCCCGGATACCCGTGGGTGGAAGAGGTACATACACAGTCAGGCAGACAGGAGAGGTGCCAGCCGGAGATGGAAATGTGGGAGCCAGCGGGCTGTGTGGCGCTGAAACCAGGGTCAGGGTGGGGACCAGGGCCACACAGAGCAGATCCGAGGAAGAGGGCTGGGCTCGGCGAGCCCTGACCATTTAGAGGCTGGGAAGAAGAGAGGGTGGCAGAGGAGGCTGAACCGGAGGCCAGAGACAGGGTCGCACCAGGACCGTGTAGTGGGTGGTCTCTTGGAGCCGAGAGGAAAGAAATGGGTTTCAGGGAGAGAGGAACCAGCCGTGTGAGACCCTGCTGAGAGGCCAAGGTGAGGCCGGAGAAGTGTCCACCAAGTGCAGTAACCCGGAGGTGGGTGGCAGCTTTGATGGGAGCTGGCTGAAGACGGCGGGGCGGGAGAGACAGGGGAGGGAGACAGAGCATCTGAACATCACATCTGACTGAGGATGGAATGGGGACTGGCCGAAAACTCAGGTTCAAAGGAGGGGTTTTAAGGATGAGAGCACTCAGAATTCCCTGGCGGTCCAGTGGTTAAGACTCTGAACTTCCACTGCAGGAGGCACAGGTTTGATCTCCAGTGGGGGGAACTAAGATCATGCTGTGCTGCGGGGCCAAAAATAAATAAGAGAATAAAGACGAGAGCATGCTACTGGGAGGGAGTCAGTGCCAGAGAGGGAAGCCCTGGAGAAAGGGACCCACCTGGGAGCGATGATGGTGAGCCTGGGCACAGAAGCGTTGGGTCTGTAGACTTGGCAACAGCAGATGAAGATGGTCCTACAGGGGATCTTAGACCCCAGGGAAAGAGGGGAGGTGTGCGGTTAGAGCTAGGAGAGGATGGAAGAGCCAGCTCAGAGAGCAGGGCAGTGAACCGGGCTCATGACCCAGACCTCCCGGCTTCCTTCTGTCGCGTCCTCTGCCCTCGTCATGGCTGGTTTACATCCTCAGCGGCCATGTCTCACACCCGTGTTGCCTCCACTGCTGTCTCCCCCAGGACCTTTGTTGGGCTGGAGGTCACCTCAGGGCACGCCCACTTCCTGGACCTGGTTGCAGAGGTAGACAGGGTCATGGAGGAGTTTGACCTCAGCACTTTCTACCAGGTAATTAAGGGGTGTCTTTTTTCCTCTCCACCAACCCATCTCTAATGGGAATAAAACCAGCCTTGAAGAAGCGCTTGCAGAGCCCTGCAGAACTTTCCCAGGGGAAGCGTCCATTCAGCTGGGCCTCAGCGGACCCACACCCCTGGGGAGCTGAGGATCTGATGCGGGGTCAGATACTGCCCAGCCGAAGTCCAGCATTTCTTACAAATCTTCTGTTATCTCTTCAGTATGCTCGACGAGATCTATGCCTTCGATTCTGATGTATCCATGCTTATCTTTGTATTTTTTAAGAAGTAGCTTTCCCTAGTATTTTTTAGTCACATCGACACTCCAGGTGGAGTCGAAGCTTCACATCCCTTCCTGTGTCTTGCCTTGTGCCCTCCAGGGGAACTTGAACCTGCCCAAGTCAAATATTATGGCTTTAAAGGGCCGGTGGTTTTGCTTGATATATTCTTTTAAAATCATATATAGAAGTATGATATAGAAGTATGAATTTGAATGGAGCTAATTTACAGTTTTATCATAACGTTAGATATTTCGGGTTTTGTTCACCTTAAAAAGTATGTCATCTATTGAAATGTTTTACATCAGAAAACATTAAATCTGGGACATGGGTTCTCTTCCATGTCCTAGATGTAAGGACTCAGTGTGATGACATGTAAAGGAGAGCCTCTGAGAACAGGACTGTCTTAGCTCAGGCTGCCATAGCCAGATACCAGAGACTGGATGACTTAAACAACAGATCTTTATTTTCTCACAATTCTGCAGCCTAGAAGCCTGAAGCCAAGGTGCCATCATGGTCAGTTTCTGGTGAGGCCTCCCTTCTTGGCTTGTCGATGGCCATCTTCCCATTGTGTCCTCACTCGATGGAAAGACAGAGGGAGCAGCCATCTGCCACCTCTTACGTGGGCACTAACCCCCTCACGAGGGCTCCACCTTCATGACCTCAGCTAAACCCAGTTATCTCCCAAGAGCCCCTTCTCCAAATAACCATCACCTTGGGGGTTAAGATAGGAATTGGGATGGGGGAGGGGGACACACAATTCAGTCCATAGCAAGGACCAGCCGAGGGCTATTGTATCTATCCGTGGAGGCACTTGGGATCAACACCAAGGATCTAGTCTCCGTGGATCACAAGGATCCAGCAGGGATACCGGGACAACTCTTGTCATGGAGCTCTTATGATTTCTGCCACGGCATCCAGGTGACCGCTTGCCTCCCTGCTGTCCCTCTGCAGGACCCCTCCTTCCACATCAGCCTGGCCTGGTGCGTGGGTGACGCGTGTCTACAGATGGAAGGGCCATGCCTGCAGGAACTACAGGTGAATTCGTGGTGTGAGAGCCGGGCAGGTGCTGAACCCCGGAAGTGATGCTGTGGAAGGTGGGGGGTGGGACGGGGGCTGACAAGCCCTGAGGGTTAGGCCCCCAAACCTGAATCCCTGGGAGATTAACTGGCCTGGCTGGAGAGACCCACATCTCACCCTGCTCCTCTCAGCGCAGTCTCAGACCAGCGGCAGAACACCACCTGGGAGCTTATTAGCGACACTCACTCACTCACCCCAACCCAGACCTAAAGAGTCAGAAGTTAACAAGATGTCTGGGGATTTGTGTGCACGTTAAAACTGGAGAGGCCCTGCCCGAGAACACTGATCTGAGAGGATGCTGCCGACCTCCCCTCAAGTCGCAACCCCTCGCTCAGAGGTCAAAGGCTCGGGTGCTCACAGGGGCCTGGCAGGGGTTGGAAATGAGCGAAACGTGCCCGGTATCCAGAACGTCCACCCTCACAGCCTTTCTCATCTTGTGATAAGCAGGGGGTAACTTCCACGTTCCCGTCAGTGCCCTCAGAGGAGTTGATCCTCACCTCTCAGAAAGGTGATGGTGGGGAGTTGCCGTGCAGGAATGCAGACCTTGTGGTGCAAGCACTTGTTTTTCAAGAGAAACCAGAAACCTAGATTTTTTTTTTTTATGTGTAATCCCCCTGTTTTCAAGTGTTGGCCACCAGTATGTATTTTTTAAGAAAATATTGTTTGAGCCAAACGAAACACATGCAGGCAGAAGACAGCCCCTGGGCCACTATCAGTTAGCCACGTCTGCTCTTGGCCTGATCACGCTGGAGGTGGCAAGGAGCTCTGGGCTCCGGCTCCAGCAGACCCAGGTCCCAAGCCTGGTTTTATTGGATTCTGTGATCCAAGACTCTGAGCATCCATTTCCTCGTCTGCCAAGGTGGGATGATAGCACTGGCCTCACAGGATAGCAGAGCTGATTAGACAAGGTGGCCTAACCTCTGAAGGATTTCGGTAGGCTGGCTTTCTTAGCAGTGCCATCTGGGTCCCTGACTCCCCTTAACGCGACTGTCCTCTCCTGGCTCCCGCTTTTAAGGGAATCGTGGATGAGTTTGAAGACTCTGAGATGCTGCTGCGTGCATATGCCGAGCAGATCCGCTGCAAGTCTGGGAACAAATTCTTCTCGATGCCTTTGAAGTGAGCACCAGAGGTCCTCATTGTCCTGGGCCCCTCTGCAGCCAGAGATGGAAGAACCCACTCAGATCGCTGGGGATGCTGCCAGCCCTCCACTGGGGGGCCTGGCCGGAGGAGGCGCAGCTGCTCCAGGTGCTCTCCGGGAGCTGGTTCTCTTTTGGCCCCTTTGGGTTGCAGGTCGGGTACTGCTGCATTGTGGTCTTTCCCAGAAATCACCAGTAGAGGGCAGCCTGGGCTTCCTAGTTCTAGGTCTGTGGTGGTTATGCAAAAAAGCAAAACAAAACAAAAAATAGGGGTCACCTGGTGAGCCCACCCATACTCAGCCAGAACCCCCATGGTAGTCCCGCCAACAAATGGCCCCTCCCCCACACCCCCTTGGGCTGTCTGCATTTGGATGCCACTGGCCCCCAGACGAGGGCTTTTCAAAGCCATCATGCTCTGTCTCATCTCGGCTCAGGCCTGACAAAGGGTGTTTCCGCAGGCCTGTCATGCGCCCTGCTTGAAGCAGTGTCGCTTTTATTTATTTATTTTTAGTCTCACCCCCTCCTATGCCAGTGGAGGCCATCTCAGGGCCAAGGCCCAGGGTGCTAATTTGTGGTTTAGCATCAGTTTTCTCCATTCCTTCCTCCCACTCACCCCCAGCCAGGTGCTTGGGGAGACTTGAGCAGATGTTTCATCTTGGCCTGACTGATGGCTTTAAGCCAGGCCTCCAACGCTCTGACCTCTGGCTTCCCATCAGCTTCCCAAAGAAGCCGAGGCGCCTTCCCCAGGCAGAGCTCTCTTTCTGCCGCCTCCGGCTGCCTGCTGCGGCCGGCGGGCATTCCGGGGGCACTCGGAGGAAGGGCCAGGGCTTGCACAGGGGTTTCTGTTTTCCTTGAGCCCTCACCAGAGCCAAGGGCCAGTCCTCTCTCCAGCTGCCACCTGGGTTTCTAGTGATGGTGGAAGAAACGCTTTTAGTTTATGTTCAGCAAATAAAACTTAGGGTTTTTATTTTGGACTTTGTTTTGGACTGCTTCTGTTCAACCAGGTGCAAAGATGACTTTCCTCTACCCCCATCTTCTCTAGCCTGCTTCATGGTGGGGATGTACCCTTGGGAGTCTCCATTATGACCTCTTGAGGTGGCCATGAGAGGCCTTGACGATGCGTCAGTACAGGGGGTGGGCACCTGGCCTGCCAGGCCTGCTCGCCAGAGGGGCACGCACGGTACCTGGACCAAGGCATAAGCACAGACATCGAGACACGATCCTGCTGTGACACTTTCATGACATTTTCGGAGTCCTTTCTAGGACCCTCCCATATGTTCCTCCCAGGAACCCCCCCTGGAGATTAAACCAGGTAGGAGTGATTATTCTGCTTTTCCAGAAAAGCAGGTTCCATGAATTGCCTGGGGTCACGTGAGAAGTCAGACAAGGCCCTAACCTCAGTGCTGGCCTTTGCAACCTGCCAGGCCCGCTCTCCCTGCTCCAGCCCAGAGCACCCCTTTCCACTGGGAAGGATGTGGGGAGAAGAGGGCCTGTGGCTCTGGTTCCCACTCTCCTTCCTGAACCTCCTCCCGGCCTCTTCTGAGGCCTGCTCCCAAATCACCACCCTGGAGAGACCCAGGAAATCACATTCTGTGCCTTCTTCCCCAAGCCCTCTGCATGGAGCTGCTGATTCAACCGGGATTGGCCAGTCAGGTGTGCTGGCTTTTGAGGTCACACGGGCTGGAGAGGGAGATGCAGGCCAGCCTTCCTGGCAGCCAGCTGTGCAGCCAGCGCTTACTGACACCTGCTCCGTGCCAGCCCCTGACCTGGGCAGCTGAGTGAATCAGCCTCCTCCAACCCTCTGGATGCTCATGAGGGGGTGGGGCCGACAAGATGCAGAGAATACCCATTCCCATCTGGGAGATGCAAGCAAAACCACCCAATTTCCTGCAGGTTCCAATTTCTGGATAGAGACCAGCATCTTACAAGGTGGGTGTTGAGGGTATGGACCACCTGATCATCCTCATCAGGGCCCTGGAGCCTCCATCTCAGGCACTCCTTCTTCCTGGGAGGGTGCCCCTCACCCCCCATGTCCTGTAGCATCACCATTAACAAACCCAGGAGGACTGACTGACGGGCGTCCCCTGGGGGAGGAAGTGGCGCAAGGATGGAATTAGAGTGCGGCATCTTTGAGAGACGGGCCAAGATCAATAACCGGCTCTTCGAGGGAGAATGGAGGTGGTGATGGAGGAAGCAGGAGATTCACCGAGGGGGGAGGGGCGGCGGGCAGCAGGGCTTGGCAGACACCCAGACCCTGAGTGCGCCGCTGGAGAGGCTGCGATCACCGGCGCCGCGCTGACAGTGCAGAAGCAGCTGGGGCTCTTCCATAAGAGGAGATGTGTTCAGAAGACGGGAGGAGAGACCAGAGCCAGCTGGGGTCCACCCCTCGGCAGGCTGGCTCGGAATAAAGACACGCTCTCGAGGGGGGTTTTATCACACCAGGGAGGGTGCAAAATCAACACATCTGGCCTCGGTGTCCTTAGATGTTCCCCACAGGGTAGGGAAATCATCTCCCGGCCCATTTGGCCCCCTTCCACCTGGCACTCTCCGTTCTCTCCACACGCCTCTCCGGACCACCCCAGCTTTGTTTCCAAGGAAGAGGGAAATTACCCCAGCTTGTTTTGTTTATTCCCGGTCTCGGTACCAGGAGCCCCGAGGGGCCCGCAGCAGGCCGGCCAGGGGTTGGTGGCAAGGGGCTCCAGGCCTGCCTCCAACCCACCCTGCCTTTCCTTTACTGAACGAGGGATCTTGGCCTCTACCTGAGCCAGAACCTGCCTTTTACAAATAAGGAGGTTGACCCCAAAAGGGGAGATCACCTGCTCAAGATGGCCCAATAAATAAACAAAAAGTTTAAAAAAGGTTGCCCAGTAAGTAAATTTGTGCTGGGCCGGAACCCCTGGCCTGGCTTTGGATCCAGAGCTATTTGTATAACTTCTCACACCCCAGCAGGGTCTCAGAATGAAACTGTGCTGTGAAATGAGGTGTCTGGGATTTAATTCAAAAAGACTCCAGGACGAAAAGGAGGGGAGGGTTAGGGGCTAGATGAAAAGATTGAGGCAGGATGTGGGTGGTGTTTCAAAGCTGGGTGACTGAGAATAGATAGATGTATATATATAACTGAGTCACTTTGCTATACACCTGAAATTAACGTGACACTGTTAATCAACTATACTCCAATTAAAAAGAAAAAAACTGGGTGACTGAAAGGTCGGAGTTCACAGGGCTTAGTCCCACTGATCCCCTCAGGCCTTGGGGTCTGGCCAGAGCCACAGAACTGCAGACCCCTGTGATGGGTGCAGGTACAAACCTACCTTGGAGCCCTGAGGTAGCAGTAGGGGCCGAAACCAGTCACTAGCGAGAAAATAGTGACCAGCCCTGTCTGACCATGTAGCAGACAGCACCGCTTACAGTTCCTGGGCTCCCGTCCTTACTAGGTACCCCCTAAAAGCAAGCCTTTTTTTTTTTTTTTTTCAGTTTTCCAGTTGTGAATAAATATTATAAAAGATTGCAGTGCAATCAGTTAAATGGAGACAACCCTATTGTCCATTTCTGATGACTACACTACATTTCCCAGAAGGAAATTTCAAAGTGAAAACCTTAGAAATCCACTTCCCAAATGAGGGACCCCACACAAAAGTTCGTGGAAATGGATGAAATTGTCCCCTTTTGTCCAAACCTCGACTTCTTTTCCCTCCGGATGCTCTGTTCAACACCAGGTAATGTCCACCATCGGGGCTGACCAAGATTCTGTGCTTGACCAAACTTCAGTCACGTTCTCCTGAACCCTCTCCCTAACAAGGAACAGAGGCTGAGTTAGAAGCCCATGTTTCTCTGTTTGTAAGTGGAAAGGCACCATGTTTGAGAACATAGGCTTCTTGGGACTTCCCTGGGGATCCGGTGGCTGAAACTCCCCATTTCCAATGCTGGGGTCCTGGGTTACATCCCTGGTTAGGGAACTAGATCCCACGTGCCACACCTAAGAATGAAGATGGAAGATCTTGACTGCCACAACTAAGACCGGAGCAGCCAAATTAATTAATTTTTTTAAAAAAGCATTAGTTTAAAAAAAATAGACATGGGGGCTTGTTGATTGACTGAAACTGTCTTCATATTCCTATGGACCACACGCTTCTACGGCCCTAGTACTATCTGTTTTCACTGATGATACCTTACCCAAAACTCTAGAGCTAACACAGCCCCTCTTGGGGTTCCTGGAATCTGTTCAAATTAGTCTACCTAAGGGGAAGCCCTAGGGCAAAACAGAACTCAAATTTCTGATGCACAATGGTCCACTTTTTTCACTTGCTATGAAGAAGCCAAAAAGCAGCTAAATGATTCAAACTATTAAAGTTCTTCAACGATATTTTCGGAAAATATTTTCTGATCCAGTAAACCCCATAGACCTCTTCACAGTGCCCGAGTCCCCACCCCCAGCTCTGACATTTGTCCTTCTCCCCAAAATGTCCTTCACCAGCGGCGGACATGGATTTGATTCCTGGTCCAGGAAGATTCCACATGCCATGGGGCAAATAAGCCCATGTGTCACAACTACGAAAGCCTGTGTGCCGAGAGCCCACCCCCCACAACAAGAGAAGCCACGGCAATGAGAAGCCTGTGCACCAGGAATAGAGAGTAACCACCACTCGCCACAACTAGAGAAAGTCTATGCATAGCAAGGAATACCCAGGGCAGCCAAAGATAAATAACCTTTTGTTGTTGTTGTTGTTTTTAATTTTCCTGATCTGCCGAATGAAAAGGGAAAGATTTATTGAAGAACTGAAGACTGTCCTGGGAGCATACTCTCCAGATTCCCCAACTGATGTCAACTTATCCCCCTACCAGTTGACCCTAGGGATACTGCCCTTTGGTTTGGAAGGCCAAAGGGAGCCCCACTTCTGAAGACTCTCAAGAGTCTCAGATGACCCTGATTCTCAAGGGAGAATGAGGGAAGTAAGAGAAAAGTCACCAGAAGCCATCCCACCAAAAGGGAGGGGTCCAGTATTCAAAACTGTAAACAGCAAAGAGATGAGCTGTGGCTGCCCATCTAATTGATGGCCATCTCCATCAATTAGAAACAACCCAGTAAGAGCACCCGGGGCTGGATCTGACCTCCCTAATGGCCTCTGCTCTGACCACAAGCTTTGTAAATGGCCTCAGGCCAGAGCTCCATGACACATTACAGAGAAATAGTATTAACAGGCAAAATGCAAACTTGTCTGACTCCAGGCATTAGCCCAGCATTATGAAGATGGTATTTCCAGAAAATTGCAAGCTTAGGGCACTGCAGTTAAAACAGCTAGAAGGACCTGAAAATTTTAGTCTATGGCAAGCTCCAAAATCATGGTCCCCTCCTTCTGAAATTGTAAGAAAGGGCTTGAGTCTACAAGTGGCCAGACCTCGAGAAGAGGGGAAAGCTATCACTTAAGATAGAAATGGATCTTTTCCATGCCCCTGCCTAGGATTCCCCAATAGCGCTGAAAGCCAGGTCTTGAGGGGTCCTGATTGATAATCCAAGATTTATTAGAAAGGAAATGCTCAGCCCCTACTTCTAATCCATGCACAACTCCCATCTGGGCCATCAAAACCCACAATGGGCAAGGAGGTTAGTTAGTCCAGATCTGAGATTTATTAAAATTGTCAAACTCAGATTTGCCCTGATGCCCAGTCCTAGCACTATCCCATCTGCTGTTCCTTCCAACACCCAATACTTTTCAGCCCTCAACTTGTGTTCTGCCTTGTTTAGGATTCCCCTTTATAAGGAATCCAGCACATGTTGCCTTCACCTGGGATAACCAATAACACACCTGGACTGTTCTGCCCCAGGGATTACTGGGGCTCCCACTTCCTTCTCACACATCCTGAATGTCATTTCCAGGGACTTAAAATTCCCAGGAGACTCCACCATAATCCAACAGGCAGATGACCTCCTATGTTCTGGCAGTCATGACAACCCCTTTTGGACGCTGAAGACCTT